TCAACTCTCCCCGTGTGGGTCCCGTGGCCCCACTATGGAGCAAGTAAGAATAGACGCACTGCCTCCCCAACAAGCTTGTCGTGTGAGTCGACTATTTTTGGGCTTTTTTCAAAGTCGAAATGCATTTGCCTGAAAGAAAAAAAAAACAGTCTGTCTACAAATAAGCTGGATATCTAAAACGGATATGCACGCAACACTCAGCATCTGGAGTAGGAATAAAGTCCAGAAATTGATGAACACCATAATTTTCCCAGTGAACAGGGAGAAGAAGAAGAATAAGAAAACTCAAATTTTTATTTATAAATCTAAAATGTGGATGGCAAACCAAAAGGGCCCAATCCAGATACACCTTAGAAGTAAGTAAGTAGTACCACACCAGGACATCACACAAGCGACGAACACCCGATGACAGAAAGTGCCACCATACGTATGAGGATCACCCGTGGAGAAGTCACAGAAACCCCGTTCAGCCGTCAGGCTATATTTAGGGCCCCTGGCAAACTGTCATCTTTTTGTGGGATGCAATTTTTCGTTATTTGAAGCCCTACTTTGGCTCTTGCCAGGGGCCGCAATATAGCCCGGCCATAAATATAGTCTAATAGCTGAACGAGGTTTCTGGGACCTCTCCACGGGTGATCCTCATCCACATGGTGGCACTTTGTGTCACCGGATTTTTATCGCTTGTGGGATATCCTATTGGGGTAAAAGAAGATAGAAGCCAAGTCAGGGCTTCAAAATAACCAAAAATTGCATCCCAAATGGGGACGACGATTTGAATAAAAAAATACATCTTTGAAACTGTGCAGAAGTTTTTAACTGGGGCACCGGTAACGATTACATATACTGTCCTGTTTGGGGCAGTATCCAAAAATGGTGAAAATTTGGAGGTGACTGTAGTCAAGCTAATACAAGGAATTGTTACGTTTGTGTTGCTCACTTATGTTTGAAAGAGGCCGCCGGGTCGAAATGTTACGCTGTGTTGTTTTGTGCCCGTTTTTCTGCTTCCCCATTTTGTTGAGCTTTTTAGTCAAATTTCTCTGGAATTCTTTGGGGTAGTATGCATTTTACTAAGAAAAAAAAAAAAAAAAGAAACTATCAAGTACACCCTACATTTGTGTGGTTTTGCTTTCAGTTTCATGCAACCCCAGTCTGACCTACTTGCAGAATGCAGTTTTTGTCCTTTCGAATACGTTGGTCGAGGAGCGGCTGGCCGAGTGGTTGGAATGCTGGCCTCTCACACGGGAGACCCGGGTTCGAATCCACTGTAAGGTTAGGGATTTTTTTAATGTCGGGGAAAAAAACACCAAAATTGTTACTTGCGCAGTCTGTGGCGACAGCACTTGCGGGCGTAAAACCTCAGACGTGGTGAGGGGTGGAGGTAGGAAATAAGCCTTACGTAAGCAATAATAATCACAATGTACTGAAAGGCATTATACTTATGGGTGTGTGGTTTTGTGAGTGTGTTTGTGTGTGTGTAAAACAATAAATACTTATAAAGATAACAGCGTTAGTAAGGGGTGCTCCCCCCCCCCCCTCCTTACAATCAGAGGAGAAAGGGTTACTGGGTACCCCAACCACGATGTTCTTTCTCAGTTACATGTAACCGTCGTTCTGTCTTACCATGACTTAAATTCTGCAGAAGGCAACTCGTGACACGCGCGCACCGGTGGGGATGGTGGGGGGGGGGGGGGGGTCAAGGTAAATAAACCCCCACGTTCCGTTTCCCGTTAATCTATAATATATGTACCACGGTAGCATGACCGGGAAGTGTCACCGATAAATTTAGATTTTCTCAGAACCGCTGGTAGTGGTTTCGTTTTCTCAACCACAAAACAGGCGTTTCAGAGTGAGTGCTGTCAGACAGCGGGAAGAAGCTTGTTACAAGTGGTAACATCAAGTACGTATTTTAACTGTCTTACTAGTTATCAGTTTTGATTTAAGAATCGACATCATAATAGAACTCGGTACATTTTCATAAGCTCCCCGTCCCCATTTTCAGCAGCAAGTGCAAAATTTGTTTCTATCTGGAACAGAGGGTATTTTAGTTTATTGCGGTTATAACTAGGACTTTTCTCTGTGGTACACGTACCTTTATCATGTTTTTTTTTTCTTTCCAGCGCTACTGTAAAACTGATGCTGTGTGAAGGTTAGCCGACCATTTATTTCTGAAAATAAACTCCCCAGTACATCTATTTAATGACGACGCAATAAATATATTTCGCTTATTGTTTTAATATAAATACTATTTTCTTGTTGCCGTTTTTTTATATAAGATATTTAACTTTCGAAATGTATAACTGTTGTTTTGACTAGGTGATATGGTTTTCATGTCAAATTTTGCACGAAACCGTTAGTTTGACCACAGCAGATATCACTTGTGTTTATTCGGCATTGATTTACCAAGGCACAAATTGACGACCTGCTACCTGAAGTTGTTAATTTTACCAGATGCCGTTGATGTCAGGTCAAATGCTCAATGACACCACAATTTGACCACACAAGATATGATACCTGCCTTTAGTCGTCGATGATTTAAGCAGCTATTGAGAGGCAAAGAATGAAATGGTTTGGTCACCTAATGAGAATGGAACCAACGATGCCAGCATCAAGAGCATACAACATGAAAATCGAAACACCAAGAGGCAGGGGAAGACCAAGAAGAATATGGATTGAAGGAGTCACGGACAACTTGAGACTTCATAACATCACGGCATATGAAGCGACTGAGCGCACCCTGGCTCGGTTGCCGATCATCTGATAGACTGCGACGCCTAGCGGCACAAGCAGATTTTGACAAAAGAAGAAGAAGATTTAAGCAGGCAAAATATGAAGACCACGCTAAATGAAGTTGTTAATTTGACCAGACGCCATCGATGTCAGGTCCGTGTAAAGATATGAACCTTTGCGGTTTTGTACCTCAACTCTTTTCTTCTCTTTTCTGTTCCTGGAACACATCAGGTGTAAATTATTCTGTTTCTTTAATCCAGTGTTTCTAGTGGTGATCTAGTGGTGATCTAGTGGTGATCTAGTGGTGATCAAATGGTGATCTAGTGGTGATCTAGTGGTGATCTAGTGGTGATCTAGTGGTGATCTAGTGGTGATCTAGTGGTGATCTAGTGGTGATCTAATGGTGATCTAATGGTGATCTAGTGGTGATCTAGTGGTGATCTAGTGGTGATCTAGTGGTGATCTAGTGGTGATCTAGTGGTGATCTAGTGGTGATCTAGTGGTGATCTAGTGGTGATCTAATGGTGATCTAGATGTGATCTAGTGGTCATCTAGTGGTGATCTAGTGGTGATCTAGTGGTGATCCATGGAACACATTTATTTAAGGGGTTTGTGATATCGTTAAATCAACTCTCTTTAAAAAAAAGCATATTGATTTTATCAAAACAATGTTTTCCAGTTGTAAAATTAAATAATGCGGGCATAAAAAAAAAACATTGCTCAATTTCTGAGAAATTAAATATGCTTAGCAATAAATTGTTCAATGTATGGTTTGTGTTCGCGTAGGTTTAAACAAAATATATTAGTATTAAAAAGTAATTGTTCGTGTCAGGATTCGAAAATAAAAGAGGTTCGGGGGTGTTATCTAGTTCGAAGCACTGGGTTAACACAACCTGTCCGACTAGTTACTTGAACTCTCTGTGTCTCATAGTTGGGATAATTTAGATCAATGTTTCTCAGTCTTCTTACACTCACGGCCCACTAAAACACTGGACAACTGTTTCGCGCCTCACTTGACAACTAACCAAATACGAAACAAAAGCTTATGTAGATATCGGTTTATTTGTTAAATTCAAGTTACAAATAGCTGATGTTTACATGTTATAAATCTGGTATATTTGGCCGGAGCGTTGTTTCTGAGATACGAAGCGTTGCAATAAGATACATTCAATTTATCCGTTTAGTTATATTATTGCCATGCATAAGAAGGTCTTTTTCACACAGATGGGAAGTCACTGAGGATTAATTCTACAGACTGGAAGAAAAAAATAACGTACCTCACCTCGATACATAATTAAGCAAACATTTTTACCGCTCACAGGAACTTTTTTTCTGGGCCCATAGGTTGAGGAATACTGGCTTAGTTAAGAAGAAAAATGACTCAAGGGAGTGTTACACTATAAACTGTAAGGTATAAGGTATTTATTAACCGTCTAAAGAAACAAGAAAATGCTCTGTGCAGAGTGGCAGCAGAGAGGCAGCAGAGTGGCACGCAGAGTGGCATCAGAAAGGCAGCAGAGTGGCAGCAGAGTGGCACGCAGAGTGGCAGCAGAAAGGCAGCAGAAAGGCAGCAGAGTGGCAGCAGAGTGGCAGCAGAGTGGCACGCAGAGTGGCAGCAGAAAGGCAGCAGAGTGGCACGCATCGCTTTAGAGCTGCAGGATTGGACATTTTCTCAAACAGGCTAGTGCTGTACCACTAGGCTGTGAAAAGATGTATGGAATGCTAGATGTAGTCATGCCTCGTCAGAAGCAAGTAAGCAATGAGGAGGAGGCACGGTCTGGAGATAGTGGCATAGCTAGGAGTGACCGGGGGGCTGCCCGATACTCTACACTGAGAGGAACGATGAGACGGACACACAATCGGACTGTTGCTAGCTTGATCGGAAGACTCTTCGCAGGCTGCTGTAGATGAGGACTACGGCCAGCTCTAGCAGTAAGGCCAAACACTTCTACGGAAATTCCCTGTAGTATAATTTGTGCACACATTTACTCGATAACAATGGTGAGCACAGCCCGGCTGTGAAACGGCCTCACAAAACGGGAATTTCCGTAGACCTGTTCGGTCTTATTGCTGAAGCTAGCCGTGGTGAGGGCAGAGTGTTTATGGGGATGTCTTGAGAGCTGTGAAGTCAGTTATTGACTCAACTAAACTGAACTAAACTCAAAAGTTACTCCAAGTTTTCATTTATTTTCCCTATCAATTGCAATCTGTTTTATTACGTCTTCAGTCAAACAACCGTTGTTTAACATTTACAAACAAGCCTCGAATTTAAAATGGCGGATACACTCGGAGAAGGGACAACAGTTAGTGCAGCAGCAGATGTAGCAATGTCCGAGGACAGTGGCTACCAGGGAAGTAGACAGTCCACCACGACAGAGGGGACAGTATCACAGATGGACCTTGCCTCGGAGTCCGGGGACAGTACACACACAGGTGAGTGCAGACCTTATCTGGGTATGCGAGTATAGGCAACATGGTGACAGGTGAGCACAGACCTCATTCGGCAACTATGTACAGACAACAGAGGGCAGGTTGATAAGTAGACACGTGACAGTGGAAGGTGAGTACGGGTAGCACCAGGCAGGTAATTACTGACAGGAAGGAGGCAGGCGAGCAGTGACACGACAGGGACGGGTGAATACAGGCAGCTCGAACGGCGGATGAGTCGAGATTTTTAACAATTTCAGTAAAAGTACAATCAACAATACCGGCGTGATGTTGACCACATCATCCAAAGAGTGTGATTGGTCTATAAAATATAGGTTTAGCCTATAGGTCCAATACGCCTGAATGTGTGGAAAAGGGTAAAAAAAAAAAACTATAAACAAATTTGGCGTAGTTTCCTGACAGGGCGAGGCGTCAGGATGTATGCTTGCAACTTGTACACGGACCGTTTTACCCAGAGTTGGAATTTTGAATGTGTTCTGCTTCTTCAGCATTCTGGGCCTTTGAGGTAATCTGGTAATCTGGTAATCCTAGTTTCAGCTTCATAGCAAACGGGTCACCCCACAGATGCTCTGCTTTGAGGTACATTGCTGCTTCCATTAGCCGCTTGGATTCAACTTTTTGAGTGACTTTCTCTTTCACGCTGGTGATTCCAAGCGTTTCAATGATGTATATTACCTCTTCACAGTTTTCTTGGTCTGCCCCCTGGTCTACTCCAATTCTATTCTTTTGCGTACGCAGCTTTCCCCCTCTGTCACCTGCCATTCTCTTTATGTGCCCAGTTATTGCAACCCAATAGCCCTCATGGTACCAGAAATAGGAAGAAGTGTAGGCAGGGCAGATACAATACGAATGTGCTTCATTCCATGGACAGTCAAAGGAGTCAGAGACAATGAATCTTCCCATGCAAATGGGTATTAATCGAGGACAAGCTTGCAGAAACCGGTTGCGGGGCAAAGCTAGAAAATATATTAATCAATTACTACTAGGTACCAGTAATTATGATTTTTCAAAAATGACCTTGACTCTCAGATCGACCCAGCCTTGAGTGGGTACCGGGGGCAGTCCCGGAAGTGAAGGCGGCCGGCGTGATGCTGACCACATCACCCATCTTGTGCCGATTGGTATATAAAAATATAGGTCTAGCCCTAAATGCTTAGTACGACTAAAGGCGTGAAAAGGTCCCTTTACTAGGTACTGTAAGCGAGAAGAAAGTGAAATGATGGCACTGCATCAGAGGACAGGCCACGAATAGGCCATACCCATGCGCTAGGATGTCGATATGGATAACAAGTTAACCACACCAGTAATTAATTAGAGCGTTTTTAAACATATCCTAAATTTCGTTGTGGCTGCTCACTCTCCAGAATACCAACATAACTTGGAACGACGCTGAAACTAAAATGTCTTAACTAACACTGTTTGTTTACAGTGGTGGGACCGGCAAGCACTGGGGCCGCCGAAAGACAAGGGAACATGGAAAATCTTAGTTGGCCGCCTCAAGTTACAATCGACCCGGTATCAAGAACGGAACAGTGGGTGGAGGAGACGTGAGTTCAATTCTTCTCTTCAATGTTTGTTTCCTCTTTTACTTTTCTCCTAGGTTAAAGCTGGTAAAAGTTTCTGGCCGTCATTTTGACGAAAGAAAACACAATAAAGAAGGACCAGTCAGATTACAGACACGATGGATCGGTTTGTCCGTTCTGCAATGCTACCTAAATGCTTAGTTGGTTGGTTGATTAATTATCCCCGTTGCACATCGATTTTCCCAGTCCATAAGAGCTCGGACATTCTCCCCGTAAATCCTGCAGCGTCCAGCGGCACTATTCCTGTATTGGTGTCTTACTCTTCTTTGGCCTCCTGCATTGTTCTCTTGTCTGGCCACACCCCTTGTACCATGTTGTTCTTGCAGTCTGGTCATGGTTGCAGATTCACAGTCATTACTTGGCTCTCGCAGAACATTCAGAATATCAACCTGGTTCATGGCACGTAAGCCGCCCACAGTAGTTTTACTTACAAGCCTATCAGCATGCTCGGCTATCCTCCGAATAATGGGCACAAAAGATGGCGACCAAAAACAGGGCTTCAATCACGTATCAATTGCGCACTTCCGGCAACCTAATTTGCGGTTTTCCGGCAACTACCGCACCGTCGAGTGTATCCCGCACGCCGCTCCCGCGGCGTGGATTGGGGCTAAACTATATGGCTGGGACTCAAGAGTAGCAGCTTCCGCATCTCCTGTAGCTTTGCTCGTGAGTCCTAGCCATCTAATTTAGTCTGACTGAGGCTCTGTTAGGGTGTTTTTGCGGCCGCCATCTTTTGTGCCCGTTATTCGGAGGATAGCCGCATGCTCACATATTGCACACCCGTCTGCCCCGGCCACGAATTTGAAACTAATATTTGTCAACCCTGATCGCCTCAGAGACTCCAACCTGTCTTTAGACCCAGCCCATTTCTATCTTCCTGAGCATACTCATCGAGTCACTGAGAAAACAGGCGCAGGTAAAGCTATAATTTGGGAACACATAATGGTCACACCAGCTGGTTGTAAATCTGTAGTCATGGTGGGTAAGAACGCACAGACATGTCATGTAGAAGGACGTACGGATACGTCACATGGGTAAGGACGTACAGACACGTCACGAAGCGACATAGTCAAGTTGATTACCTTACGTTCTGAAGTTCATATTTCCCGGTGGCGTCGTTCATTTCACCACTGGATCTTTGATGATCCATGAGGCAAGGCCATTAAGACGCGTTGAGACTTTGATGCCTACGTACCGCATCTTAACGAAACTTCTTTCGAAGAGCGTTGCTGCAATCCAGTTGACCCGTTTTGTCTCTATGTGCACACCCATCATCAATCTGATAAGTATATTGTATGTAACGCTGTTGTTCGCGTCTTCTTTCCAGGACTTCTGCCTGGTACCCATTTTAGGCCGGGTCGACCTAGCAGCCAAGGTTATAGGGGAGGGAAGTCCACGATACTTGGATCTTCAAGCGAGCGTAGTAATAAAACTACAAGCAAGACTTATCACATTGCCATAGAAAGAATACCTACCATAATATCCCCAGGTAGGCCACAGTGTTACAATCATCTCCAGCTAGCTGTTATATCTGGTCGTATCTAACCGATTCTCCTCTCTTTCTCCAAACAGGTTCGACGTTTTTGTGAAAAACCTGGATGGGAAAACTCACACAATTCAAGTCGAAAGATTTGAGAAGGTGTCCACCTTCAAGCAGAAAGTTGGTGAAAAGCTGGGCATACCCTTGGAACAACAGCGCCTTACAAGCCAAGGGAAAACTCTAGCAGACGATAACCTGTCGCTCCATGACTACAAGATACAAAAACACTCAACTGTGTACTGTCAGGGGCGTCTCCGGGGAGGCCAGTCTTGTCTTTCACATTAATTCGTTCTTCTTCTCTTCTTTATCTTCAGCATTCTGGGCCCTTCAGTGTAATTACTGCAGATATCACCCACCTCTTCATTTATCTGGTTGGCCTTATCTTTCCAGTTGGTGACACCAAGTGTTTGTAGGTCTGTCTAGATGTTATCTCTCCATTGCCTTCTTGGCCTTCCTTATAGTTAACGACCATTCAGCTTCCATACATATAGTTTTTACCTCTCTGTCATCTGACATTCTCTCAATATGCCCCAGCCATTTCAGTCTATTAGCTCTCTCATGATGCCAGTGATCAGTGGTGATTTAAACAAATTATGAATTTCATTGTTGCTTCTCACTCTTCATTCCTCACTGTTTGCATCTCTGAAGATTCCTTGTAAGACTCTTGTTTACAAAAAAAATTGTAATAAGGCTTCATCTTTTTTATTGTGTTTTAGATTTCAGAGCCATTTAAAACAACTGGTCTTATCAGCGTTTTAGATATTTTGATCTTGTTGTTACCAGATAGACACTTTGATTGTAGCAGATGTTGTAGGGCATAGTATACTCTTTTTTTTCAGATTGTATTTGTTCTCTTAGTATGTTAGAGCAGTTGAAGTATTTATATGTTAAAGTTCATTATATCCATTCTTTTTGTCCACAATATTTCAAAATACATTAGATTTACAAAGATGTTTCTTGTTATTGTGTGCACTGAATACCCTCACCGACATTTTTCTCATATTCAGGAATACCTAATTTATGCATATCATCAGCTTTAACTCTATTCTTTGTCAGAATAAAGATACCATTCATGTCTTTCCATGTGTCCTATTACCCTCCTTTCTGCACCTGATGTCTGTATGGAGACAATGAAGACTTCTGCCAGAGTCCACAAAGAGCTGGATTTTTTTCTGACTCTGGTTCCTCAAAGTACTCCGTAAGCGTCATTTCTTTGCTCAATGTCTATTTGTTTCCAGATTTTCATTATCATGCCTAGAGTAAAACAAAAACACACACGCACACAGCATGAACAAACCTAATTTATCACAAATATTTTACTGCTTTCAACAATATTCTTTTCAGTCATCTATTCATACACAAATGAATTCTAAAAAGCAGCGGTAAATATCACTTCTGTATTTCCACAGAACCATATAAATGTGGGGAACATATCAGAGTCACTGTTGTTAGGAACAAGTCAATAATACTATTTGTGAGTGTGGCCAGGACAAAAGTCAATATAAGTTGTTAGTGTAGAGTGACAGGGTTGTTAGGAACAAGTTGGTAATGAATCAGTATTAAAAAATTTATAAATAACAACTGTTAAACGGGAAACATGCCACTAACACCAGGAAGCATGTCAGTGAAGGCAGAGAACATGTCAGTGTAGGCAGAGAACATGTCAGTGTAGGCAGGGAGCATGTCAGTTTAGGCAGAGAACATGTCAGTGTAGGCAGAGAACATGTCAGTGTAGGCAGGGAGCATGTCAGTGTAGGCAGAGAACATGTCAGTGTAGGCAGAGAACATGTCAGTGTAGGCAGGGAGCATGTCAGTGTAGGCAGAGAACATGTCAGTGAAGGCATAGAGAATGATCTTCAGTGACAGCTCAATTGAAATAAAGTACTGTATAAAAAAAAACAAAATCATGCTGTTTCTACGAAGGAGGTTTGCTGCAATATATTCACAGCTAAATATGGGAACATCACGTTATGAGGCCCCAATCTCTACCACAGGGTCACTCCAGCTCCACTGCCTGTAAGCAATGACAACAGTCTTTTTCCAAACAGCCTACAGGGGGATTCGAACCCTGATAAACATTGTGAAATATATATTGTGAAATCTTCTTCTTCTTCACGTTCAAGGGTTGCCAACTCCGGTTGCTTGACCACCTGTAGTATTCAGTCCTATACCAGAACCTGAGTTTTGTGCGCACATCCGTTTTACAGATCTGACATATATGAATGCAGATTGCTGGTTCCTTGCCTCTTAGAGTTGCACTCTGACTTTGAAGGAATCCCTTAATTAGTCGACACTTACAGCACGCTTGTTGGGGGACAGTGGGTCTATTCTTGTTTTCCACACCATGGGGCCCTGGAACCCATACAATAAATATTGTGAAATGATCTCACTAACAACCTCTAGCCCACAAAATCGCCCAAGGAATTTTATATCATCTTATTAAAAATTACAAATAAGCATAATTCTCTTAAAAGATCAAATTATTCTTAGTCTTAGTTGAAGTTTCAACTTCACCGCAATCGGGTTTCCTCACATCTGCTCCGTTCCTGTGCCATTGAAAATCAAATGAAATGTCCCTCACTGTCCCATTAAAAAAAATTGATGAACAAACAATTAGTCCCATCACAATCCAGAAATATGCACATGCAGTAAAATGTATATAGCAGGTGCTAGAGGTGCCAGAGCCAACAGTTGCCACCTCTATACACACATAGAATTATTACAAAAGGTATTTCACCAGCCCATGCGTAAACCAGCTACCGGCCATACTGAATACCACAACTCAAACGCTGGACAAATGAAAAACACAGCTCACAGGGCTGCACCAAGCACTAAGCTCAAGCAGCGAAAGACCAAATCATTTTATTTCAATAACTGTTCTTATTCAAAAAGACGGTGGCCTTGAGTTGGTACATTTGGTGACTTTGCAACATTGCTTAAGCACAAAGCTAGTAAAAAAGTTGCCGACTCATGCTCTAAATAGCCAAGGAAAAATTCAAAGCTGAAGATAATACTGAATTCAAAATACTTATGGAAAAATCCACGTTGAAGATAATACTGAATGCTCTATGGCTGAGTGAACACTTTCAAAATAAATAACACACTTACAAAATACAACATGGGATTCAAGCCAGAATCCTGTATAAACTTGCCTAGCCGGATGTCGGTGACCAACTAGTCAAGTTAGGCACTCTTTTCCAAACGTTCAGGCATATTGGGCATATAGGGCTAGTCCTATATTTTATAGCCCAATCAGCACTCGGCGGGCGATATGGTCAACATCATAACTGCCGCCTTTACCACCCAGGACTTTATCTGATACCCACTTGAGGCTGGGTCAACCTGGGAGCCAAGGTCCTATTTAAAAAAAATATCCGTCTCCATTCAAATTTAAACCCATGACCTTTAGCTGCCCAGGTCGACATCTTGCCGCTACACCTCGGCGGCTCCCAGAGACAAGTGAGAGAGATGCATCCAAATATCAATCAGTTGCTATCTCTGCAATGTTGTGAAAAGATAAATTAACCCGAACGAGATGCAGAACTAGCCTGCTTTACACCACAGTCACAAATAACAAAATGAACATTGTGGCTAGAAAGCTTTCATCAGCATACAAAGAAACAGACTGTCTCAAGTTGTCACAATGAAAGCCAGCGGCAACAGATTCTCCAACCCTGTATGTCTCTCACCCGAGGTTATACCCTCGCTGACACATCTCGCCTGCCTCTTGAAGTTATCTTCTCATTTGAGACTCTATTAACCTCCTGTTGGCTGGGTGCCCTCCAGTTTTACTAGAGTATGCTGTTTACAAAAGGTATCTGAAACATGTAACCTTGAACATTAGTTCTCACATACAAGTTCTCACAAACTACTCAGTAACTAATATATTAAAACTATCACAAATACCATCACTAAACTAAAATAAATACAAATTTAAAAAACAATGTAAAACTTTTCAATATCAAATAATAATATATCAATATAAAAACAGAATATCAATTAAACATAATGAGCATGAGCCAAATATAAAATAACCTGAGGCTATTTCAACATGAATAGCAAAACTGTATACATACAACATCTGTCTAAGGGTGTTACATAAAACAATATTTAAAAAAAAGGACCTTCTTCTATACCTTAAGGTGTGCTGGGCACATAGGGCTACATCTATATTTTATAGATCAACCGGCATGCGGTGGGTGATGTGGACGCCTTTACTCCCCAGGACTTGAACTGGGACTGATTTAAGGCTGGCTTAAATGAACCAAGATCTTACCTATGACAACTGAAAACTGCCTCAGTGTGAGCTGTGACGACAAGGTCCAGCGACTTGTCAAGCAGTTCATATCCAGAACCGGGAAAGCGATCTGAGAGCCACCCCTCATCATGATGTGACCAGATCCAGCGAGTACCAGCACCCACAACAGAGGCAACTTTACCTCTCACTCACTCTTCCGACCTCACTGTATGTCCTCTCAAAGGCATTCCTGCCCCTCAGCCTGTACCACCTCCACCACAGGCGAATCAACCATACTAAAAAATTCAACTAACATAATTTCCCATAGTATATTTTCAGAAAGAATAATACGACCGAACCCACCAAAGGCCACCCGACGCTCCGAGGCAAACCAGCTAAAGGGCATAGCACAAGAAGGGGACCAGCACTCGTGGATTTCTGTCTGTTATGCATTTCATTTTGTAAACTCCCCGCCCCTCCCACACAAGGTTCAATGTTAATAAACTCATTTTCAGCTAAAAACCGAGGAAACCCACCAAAGGCCGCCCGACGCCCTGAGGCAAACCAGCTAAAAGGGCATTGCACAATAAGGGGACCAGCACTTGTGGAATTCCAGGCTACTACGCTACTCTGATTACTTCACCCGTCCCTTCCCCTATGTATCTAAAATGTAAATCAGTCTATTTTCAGATCAACCCAGGCAGAGCAGGCAGTGTGCAGGACTCAACTCACCAAGGACCTCTTCCTCAACCTAGCAAGCTATCTGTCTCTCTCCATCTTCCGACCTAGCTATACAATATCTTTGCACCTTCGGGCGTTCTAATTTTTTTGCAACCTTTGTTACCTCCTCTACTTATCTAACGGCTGCACACAACAACAAGATTGTGACAGTCGTCCTGTGGGGGCCGTGTTTTAGGGCGCTCAGTATGCGGAACTGTTTGTTTCGTGGCGGTGTGACTTCGAACTGACTTGGTGCTAACACAGATGAACGGTGCAAAAGCTAGCGAATAGCCAATTAAACAGGAACCAGGCCCCTCAGAACCAGAACTTAGGCAACAAATGAACAAACTCAGGTGAAAGTGCTCACCACAAGGAATATAAATAAAATAAGATAGCAAAGGAACCGTCCTTGAAAAAGCAGGCCATCAGGCGGCTAAAAAAGGACTAAGTTTGGAATTTTTGTTTGACTTTATACGATACGATACGAACCAAGATCTTTTTTTTTTTTTTTCAAGTTCGGCTCAGTCAGGACCTGACTCCAATGACCTTCGGATCCGCAGGCAAGGGTAAATAAAACAATATAGTAAAGATCCCTTTTCATGCTTTCAGGCATATCTGGCATTTGAGAAGAGCACTGATATTTTTACAGACCAATCGGTGTTAGGTGGATAATACGCCGGCCGTCTTTACTTCCCCAGGACCTACATCCTGGTACCCATTTTAGGCTGGGTCCTATACCATGATAAATAAAACAATATTCTAAAAACAAAACAAAAAAATTAAACAAAAGACAAGCATATATGTAGAAAATGCAGCATTTCCAGTGATCTTTTTCTAGCATAAAAATGAGATCAAACTTCTGCTAAACATGTAGGTAGCATAAAGATAAACACAGAACTGTGAGCATTAACTCTTGAAGTCCCACTTTTCACAGCAGCTGCTTAAGGAAAGAAACACATACTATGAACATTCAAGAGCACAAAATTGTCAAAGAGGGAACTGTATATACCAGATTTCTTTAGTATTCTATGACCAAATGTAAAAAAGTAGCAGAACATACTCTGTAATGTTTGGCATCTGTTAGAACTAGTTTATCACACATGATGAGCTGCTTAGGGTGAAAGAGATAATTTGAGAACATAAATAATATGAGATAAAAGTGTTTCATACACAATACAGTAAGAGCACTAACAAGAGAAACAGGGCTGATGTCATACACAAGACAATAAAAATTTTTCAATAACAGAAACATGAAGACTCTCCCTCACACACTGCTCCCCCCCCCCACACACACACACACACATAAATTACCCTGATATCAGAAACAAAAAGACACAGTTGGTATCACACACAATACATTAAAAACACACGTAGCAGAAACTAAAAATGGTGAAAATATGGGGGTGACTGCAGTCAAGCTTATACAAGGAATTCCAGAGAAATTTGATTAAAAAGCTCAACAAAATGGGGAAGCAGAAAAACGTAAACAAAACAACACAACGTAACGTTTCGGCCAGGCAGCCTTTTTCAAACATAAGTGAACTACACAAACGTAACAACGAGGATGGTAGCAAAAACTTGTGTGTATTGCACATGACTGACTAAACAAAGGAGAAAACATTTCTCTATCTGGTATGTGTTCATGAGTTTGTGAACAGACTGTAACTCAATACGTGCTGATTCAACAGCCTAGTCAAATAATTTTGCCAATTAACGAACTAAATGAAAAAACAATACTTTCAAACAATACAAGCAAACCTGTACAGCTGTCTATATTGGCACCAAGTAGTAAGTGAAAAAAAGTTTAAATCAAACGCAGGGCAACTGCTAGCAGATGAATTCTATCCTCAATACCGTCCCAGCACAGTAAGGACTTGAATATGAGTAAAGTCACTGAACCAACAAACAGTCATTGAAGCAGGGCATCTATGCTTGGCTCCTTGTGTTTTCTGAAGGTACAATAATATCACATGTAAATATTATTAGATGCAGTCAAACATAATAAATGATCCATAAGAACAAACCTATTAGACAACATAAGATAAAATCAAACCAATTAGATAACATTACACCCATAAGATAATATAAAACCTATCAGATAACATTACACCCATAAGATAATATAAAACCTATCAGATAACATTACACCCATAAGATAATATAAAACCTATCAGATAACATTACACCCATAAGATAATATAAAACCTATCAGATAACATTACACCCATAAGATAACACTAAACCCATCAAATAACATTACACCCATAAGATAATATAAAACCCATCAGATAACATTACACCCATAAGATAATATAAAACCCATCAGATAACATTACACCCATAAGATAACACTAAACCCATCAAATAACATTACACCCATAATATAATACTAAACCCATTAGATAAAACAAAACCCATTAGATAACATTAAACCCATAATATAATACTAAACCCATAAGATAAAACAAAACCCATTAAATAACATTACACCCATAATATAATACTAAACCCATTAGATAACACACACACACACAAAAAAATCAGATAATACTAAACCCATTAGATAACAATACACACATAAGATAACACTAAACCCATCAGATAACACAAAACCTTTCAGATAACATTAATCCTTTCGCTCCTTAAAAATAAAAAAATAAAAAAAATTTGGTTGAAAATGAAGAAAAACACATCATTATAATTCTCTGAGATTACCCTGAGAAACAAGAGGAGGTAAATAAGAAACAGAATAAATTTGGAGTCTAGTTTTCGTAAAAATTCAGGTGGTTGAAATCTCAAACCATACAGCAGACAGGCAAGCCTGCTAGCTACTGTGTCATCGTGGCCCCCAAGTTACCAAAGAATGATTTTTCCTATTTAGGGTCAGTATTTTGTGCAAAGTTGATTTTGGTAATCACTATATACAAATGGTGCAAAGAAATAACTGCGTTTCTTTCCTTTGACCAAGAAAGGTTTTGTTGTTGACGTAGTCCTTAAAACAAAGTGACAATTTGTTGTACATTCAATCATACTGACTATGTCTACACACAATGCGGCTGCAACAAGCACCAAAGCTGATACTGGTCATTAAACAAAGATGTCATCTCATCAAAAACACACAAGATTTGGAAAACATACTTCCTCTGGGGGATAGAGTTTAGCTAATCAGATAATATAAAAATAACATTTAAAAGTTAGTTGCCTATCATGTTGCAGAACCAACCACAGCATATTTTGGGTGTTGTGGTTTCTCTAAACAAACTTATGTCCAGTAGTTTGCCATTGCTTTCTGGACAGTCAGTTCTCAATACCATTTTCGGAACCATAGCAAGGCCTGCAGCTGGGATTGAACCTCACACCCTAGCATTATAAAGCACGTTTGCAACACCTAAGCCACACAGCCAACAATAATTTTAAACCTACCAGATGATACCAAGCCCATCAGATAATATTCAAACTCACTTCTTGGAACTCCGAGGCCGACTGGCTGTCTTGGAACGACCAGCCTTGATTCCCCTACCTGTCTTGTGTCTGAAACGTTCCAGTTCTCCTGTTCTGGTGTAGGAGAGGTACACATGTGACAGATCAACTTCAGCATCCTGCAGATGGAAAACCACTCTCAACAGCCTATGGCACAATCTCCTTAAATCTGAAACAGGTATATCCTTGTGTGGGTTCTGGGGCTCCATTTGGGGGGCGGGGGGGGGGGGGGGGGGGGGGGGGGGGGGGGGGGGGGGGGGGGGGACAGACCTACTGCCTCAAACAAGCAGTTCATAAAAGGCAACTAATATCAAATTATTGGGCTGAATGGGGTTGATGCTACAGCCTAGCTGAAAACCACATCATAAACTGCTAACCATCCCTTTAATGAGGAACACAGCAAAAAAAAAAAAAGCAGGCTGTGACTGCAAAAAATAATAATTCATGTTACAATTTTAAACTACCATCGTTCAAGGGTTGATAGATAACTATCATCTTAATAAATATTATCAAGTTTCCTTCGAAGCCAGAGTGCATCCTGAGAGATAAGAAACCAACAGTCAGCTTACAAACAAGTTAGATCTGTAAAACAGATATGCACGTTTTGAAACAAGATCAAAGTCCAGAAGTGGACGAACAACCAGAATTGTCAGCAGGAGTTTACAGCTGGTGAATGCTAAAAAGAAGAATATTATCAAGTCTCACTTTCACAGTCTTGGTCAAGAGTAATGACTCTCCTGTACTATTTCCATGATGTCTTCATACCCCCCCCCCCCTTCTACCACCTCACCTAGCCGCGTTAGTGCAGTCGATAGGAGACTCGCTTTCTAATCCAGCTGCGACTTGCTGCAGTGCACGGTGGGTGTTCAAAACCAGGCGGTTCCCAAGGTTCACCCAGCCTCTAGGTAATGGGTACCAGAGTTAACATTCTGGGGCAAATGGAGGAACGTCGCTGTAGCTACAGAGTTGCGTGCGGACGGCGACACAGGCGGAAAGTTTCTTATCAGCTGTCTGTACTGGTGGCAGAGTACTTATGGTTTATAACCATGTGCCACGATGCTGGTTCACATCTCCCGACTTTATCTTTACTTTACCTATCCTTAATAAGAAGTTCCTTTTTTTTAGGGGGAGGTGCCCAAAGTACCCTAATTCCTCGGTCAAGGTTTGACACAAATATTTGCCAACAAACAAAAATTACACGTGCCCCTTGTGCTGTAAGAACATTAAATATTTCAGTACCAAGAACACATCAGGTGTTGATTTATAACCAAATGAACATATCTCTGGTAACAAAACGATTTAAGAGAATGGAAGATTTTATCACCAAAAACTAAATAACTTGATACATATTTTACCAGAAAGAGCTAAATTATTAAAAAAGTGACACATTTTATTAAAAGAAGTTAAATTATTTTATAAAGTGACACATTTGATTAGAAGAGACTAAATTATTTGATAAAATGACATATATATTGTATCTGAAGAAACTACATTATTTGCTTTAAAAAAAAAAAAACTGTTGAAACTTCAGGGCATGATGTCCTAATTGTTGCCCCTTTTTGTGGAAAGAAAACATACACATCTCATACCTCTAGGGTCTCCTGTTCGGACTGTATCATCTGTTTGCGCATGTTGTTGCCAGTATAAGCCACACATTTCAACTGCCATTCGCCAATATCTTCATTCCAGTGAACATGGTTTTCTATCATTGCCTACAAACACATCCAGAGAATGAGAAAGAATAGCTTAAACAATGACTGACACTGACAATTTGAGCGTATCTTCTGACAGTTGTGTTCTCACATTCAGTGTCAACAGATCTTGAGCAAAATACTGGTTAATACATGTTTCACAAAATTTTCTGTCAGCAGGTTCTAAATAAAACCTCTTATTCTTCTGTCATCACACTGTTATAGATTTGTAGCCCAATTTTTGGCTTTTTGTATTTGTGTTGAGCTTCTGTTGTCACACTGTTATAGATTTGTAGCCCAATTTTTGGCTTTTTGTATTTGTGTTGTGCTTCTCACGAGATGCGAATGATGTATCTGTATATCTTTTTGCAAGATTCAGCTTATCTGTTTATCCATCTTTTCCTTGATCTTGATCTCGCCTACTGATTTACTGATTTAAGAGTCGACATCATAGCACATCGGGTATAATCACAGATGCTCCGTCTCCTGCAGCAAATGTCTCGAGGTGTAGATGCTAACTGTTCATGTAGCACATTGATTATACATACATCGTTCTTTTCCTCTAATATTACCATCTTTGCCGGATCCACTTCTAATACCTCGTTCATATATTCTTACAAATGTTATTTATGAGCTCCTTCCTTCTATTAATATTCCTTCTTATATGGTCTTCAGAATATCTCCCTCCTCCAGTAGGAGTGTTTCCATAGCTATTGCTTTTGTAGCCAGAAAATCAGCTCTTTCCTTCCCTGACATCCCTACCTGTCCCGGACTGTACATCCACACCATTCCCTGTAATTTTGATGTGCTGTTGCCTGGTATTTACTCACGTCACATTTGGCCATTTTGAATCTTCTGGAGTGTCAACTGAGAATCAGACGCAATCATGCCTCCGGTAACTTTATTTTCTGCTATCCACATATGACCTTCCTTGGCATATCCATACCTAATTTCTTGTTTACACATTCTTACACATGTTATTTCATCTAAACTTGTATCTTCTGCCAGCATTCATTCATAAACGGTCTTCTGAATGTCTCCTTTGTCCAGTACAAGTGTTCTGTTAGCAGATCACATCAACAACATATGTACAAATAGCCATCAGAATGTCTCCTTTGTCCAGTACAACTGTTCTGTTAGCAGATCAAATCAACAACATATGTACAAATAGCCTTCAGAATGTCTCCTTTGTCCAGTACAAGTGTTCTGTTAGCAGATCAAATCAACAACATATGTACAAATAGCCTTCAGAATGTCTCCTTTGTCCAGTACAAGTGTTCTGTTAGCAGATCAAATCAACAACATATGTACAAATAGCCTTCAGAATGTCTCCTTTGTCCAGTACCAGTGTTCTGTTAGCAGATCAAATCAACAACATATGTACAAATAGCCTTCAGAATGTCTCCTTTGTCCAGTACAACTGTTCTGTTAGCAGATCAAATCAACAACATATGTACAAATAGCCTTCAGAATGTCTCCTTTGTCCAGTACAACTGTTCTGTTAGCAGATCAAATCAACAACATATGTACAAATAGCCTTCAGAATGTCTCCTTTGTCCAGTACCAGTGTTCTGTTAGCAGATCAAATCAACAACATATGTACAAATAGCCTTCAGAATGTCTCCTTTGTCCAGTACCAGTGTTCTGTTAGCAGATCAAATCAACAACATATGTACAAATAGCCTTCAGAATGTCTCCTTTGTCCAGTACCAGTGTTCTGTTAGCAGATCACATCAACAACATATGTACAAATAGCCTTCAGAATGTCTCCTTTGTCCAGTACAACTGTTCTGTTAGCAAATCAAATCAACAACATATGTACAAATAGCCTTCAGAATGTCTCCTTTGTCCAGTACAAGTGTTCTGTTAGCAGATCAAATCAACAACATATGTACAAATAGCCTTCAGAATGTCTCCTTTGTCCAGTACAAGTGTTCTGTTAGCAGATCAAATCAACAACATATGTACAAATAGCCTTCAGAATGTCTCCTTTGTCCAGTACAAGTGTTCTGTTAGCAGATCAAATCAACAACATATGTACAAATAGCCTTCAGAATGTCTCCTTTGTCCAGTACCAGTGTTCTGTTAGCAGATCAAATCAACAACATATGTACAAATAGCCTTCAGAATGTCTCCTTTGTCCAGTACAACTGTTCTGTTAGCAGATCAAATCAACAACATATGTACAAATAGCCTTCAGAATGTCTCCTTTGTCCAGTACAACTGTTCTGTTAGCAGATCACATCAACAACATATGTACAAATAGCTCCATACGTTACTGTGGACAAATTCAGAGGCAGAGGATAATAACACAGCAACCTACCATGCATGACATAAGAGTTAAGTTAAGGACTGACATCACAGCACTTGGACATTTCCATAAGCACTCCGTCATCACCTTCAGTAGCCAAGGAAGAGTTCTAATGCTAATGGTACCAATAGCAGTTTGATTATATGTCCGTCTTTCATTGATTGTGGGAGCAGAGTGTGGGCCAGGTCCCCTAGTGACTCCCAGCTGCACCATTTTTTCTAGATCCTAATGATCTATGGGAGACAGTAAAAACAAGTAATGCCTCCTATTTTTTTCTTCTATGTAAATACCGTATCAATGTTCAGTTTGTAATTTTAGTCAGTTTCCTCAAACACTGCTCTGCACTGTACAGCATTACCAACCAGTTTCAGTAACAGGAAGCGCAACTGTTAACAGTTTTAAAATGGCTTCCAAAGACATTCAGTCAAAACAACATAATGTCATAGAATTCAGTGCTGAAGGCGAGACAAAAGTTGACAGAATGTTTACGGAGAATCAACAGTGGATGTCACACTGTCTGATGCTGGGCAGATCGTTGCGAGGAAGCTGAAGTAGGTCTGACCGTTTGGTATTGCTGTGCAGTGCAGTGCAGAAGTGTGTTTGAGGAGTGCTGATAAATTTACAAACTGCACCCAGACAAAATATTTACATAAAATTTTTTTTTTCAATTCAGGAGGCATGACTTTTGACCATCCTTTGTATTGTCGCTTCTGCACTGTTCAACTGCTCTTACAGAGCCTTGACCACATCCAGCTAGACAGGCACATTTTGTAAAAGATGACCTGGGAGGGTTGAAATGACAACTACCAACTCATCCCATTAAACCCTTGGCTGCGATTCCTGAACAAGACTACAGAAAAGAAAACACAAAATCCTACCTGAAACATTGGAGGAATATAGCTGTCGATGATAGCCATCTGTAATTTGAGGTCCCTACTCAACTGTCGAACATTTTCCAGCAATCCCTCCATTTCTCGCTGATGTTCTTGCTGTAAATCTGCAATCTGCAATAAAAAATACATCAAGTCACTATTTAGTAGTGCAGCAGCAGCCAGTCTCTCTGTCTGTTCATTTCTCATCTAACAGATTCATGCACTGAAGAAAATATCCAAAGGATGCTAACTACCAGGGACCTCTGAAGCAATGCTTGCAGCTCTGAACAGAGCATGCCTTGCTCCAAGTTTCTCAGAATGCTTTATGAGTCCTAAAAATCAGCACATCTGCATGTAGATGGTTATCCAGTCAGCAAAATGCTGCTGTGACTGCCTCCATCTCCATTCTTAAACTAGATTCTGTGGTTCCATAACCTAGGCTTTGTCATGCCCCTGTATAAAAGATCACATCACCTGCGTGGAAACTGTCATGAATCAGGTGTTGAATATTTGAGTCTCCACCCCCTGTTAGCCATTCCTGTACTCCCAGCCAAATTTGATTAGAACCCTATACAAGTCTGATTTATGATCTGACATTGACCCACTTCTCTCCTTGACCAACATTTTCAAACCTACACACATCTTTAATTGTGTCTCCTGCTTAAAAAAAAGGTACATTATTAACTGTGTCATCCAAATATCTCAGAGCATTCATATTTAAGCCCCAAACTTTAACTCTGTCCTGGTGTTCTATGTTTCTTAGTAATGTCTCACTGTAAATATTCAGAAGACTATGGGTTAAATAAAACCCTTGTCCAACTCCTCTTCTGACTGCTCTAAATTCACAAAATTTTCCTTTTTTGTCTGATGGCAGATTTTCTTCCTTATGTATTTCTTTTTATCCTGAGAACTGTTCCCTGTATAGTAAGTATAGCAAAACGTCCAAAATGTCTTGTTTCAAGAAAGAACACAACATTAAAATATGACCTGGACCAGAAGCTAAACGAAGGGAAAGGAAAAGACATGCACAGATATAATATTTTTCAATCAGTCTTTACCAATGAGAAAATAACAGCAAAGATGATAAAGTCACATAAGTGAGGGGACATACTGGAAATAACAGTAACTAGAAGAAATGTTGCCAAAAAAGAATGGAGAAATGGGGTAAACATTTTATATACAAATAAAAACAAATAGACGAAGGTATGCAGTAACATTTATCCCTTCTGGTCCGAGGATACTGATTATTGTAAAGTGGTTTGATCATTGGAGCAAGATTATTTGGCTGTGATAGAAATGTTAATTAGATTTCATCACTGGAGCAAGATTTTATGGCAGTGATGAACACCTAAAATTTGTTCGCTACTACACTCCCCAGTATAATTTAAAATGTTCTCCTATTACTATACTTACCAAGAACTACCAAATACATATTCTTATTATTATTATACTTCTCAGGGATTACCACTGAGGTCCTGTTGCCATACTGTCAAAGATTACTCAAAGAAAACCTCTATCTAATTACTCCCAAGAAAGAATACATACATGCATTATGAACAAATTATATTAAATGAGATGAAACATAAAACTCAAGAGGCCAAACCTCGGACTTGGCCTGCATCAGCATGGTCCACACTCTCTTCAATTTCCTGGTTTTTCCTGAAACTTCCTCCTGCAAGCTGGAGTATTTCTCTTCAATGTCCAGTCGTTCTTGCTAGAACACAACAGACAGACAGAACATCTGACATCTACCACAATCATGTAGCAACATTACATTTGTCACATCAAAAACCAGAAGAAGTATGTTTTACCATCAGACAGTAATGTCAATCCCAACAACACTGCAGGTAATAACAAGAGAAAGTAATGTTTCAGATGTCACACACACCCTCCCCCTCATGTGGAAAAGGGGGGGGTCCACATTGGGGGTGGGGAGATAGACCCGGTGCTGCTTTTACACACATGCAGTCAAAGGTGACTAAATAAAAGTTGGCTGAAATCACTAGTTCCAGGCGGCTCAGCTGTAAACCACAAATTGTTGCAACTGCTCTTCTAGGGGTGAATGCTGAAGAAGATGTCACAACACATTTGTCATAATTTTAGAAACAGCCTGTCTCAGTTAAGTCTATTTCCGGGGAAGTTAACCCAGTCCACAAATGCTCGATGAAGTCGAATGAGTCAGCTGGCAGGCGTAAATACTGCATCGTTGCTGCAAACAGGCATAATGTAATTACATCGCTCGGACGAACGAAAAGAAGAACAAGAAGTGTATTTCAATAGTATAGTGATATTTCACTAGTAAATTAGGAAATCATACGTATTTTGATAACATAAGAGGATTAGGATAACATATGAGTATTTGGATAACATATGAGTATTTGGATAACATGAAAGGTTTTGGATAACATTTGAGTATTTGTATAACATACAAGCATTTGGATAACATATGAGCATTTGGATAACATACAAGCATTTAGATAATCTGAGAATTTTCATTTATTTTCAGATTTGGCTAGAGAATGAGAGATTATCTGGCGTGTTGTGACGAGAGCAACGTTCTGTAAAGAACACGCTGACTGTCGATGATGACGAGTTTAGACAGTGTGCGAATATTTCAATAACGTATAAGCTCCTTGAGAGCAGCTGAAACAGACTGTCATCTATCACCAGTGGGAGAACATGGTGGATACAAGCACTAACAGACCTGATTAGAAGGTAACTATCAGTATGCAGAGACGGACAACAAGCTGGTTACAGACAGGATACATGCCTCTTTTTCTTCAAGAGCTTTCTTCAGCTCCTCCTCTTTCTCTTTACGAGCCTCCAATTCCCTGGCACTCTCCTGCAGCAGCCTCTCCTGCTCCTCGGCTTTCTCCAAGAGATTCTCCCCGCCCACGATGATCTTCTTCTCAATGACACACAGCTTCTGCTTCAGCTGCTCTTGCTCATCTCTGCAAACATATTTCATATACTCACGTTACAAATATCCACTCTATGTGACTACATATTCAACTTGATATATGGAAGTAAATCATGGACAGTTGGTATATTAGATAAAAATTATTTAGAAGCTGCGGAGATGTGGTTTATAAATGAATCATGAGAAAACCCTGGACAGGTCAAAAGAGTAAAGAAGATGTCTTGAAAGAAACTGACTCAGGAAGAGAACTGACTGCCCACATCAGAAAGAGACTATCTATATTCTTTGGTCATACGATGAGAAGGAGAAAACTGGAGTATGTCGTGACATAAGGAAAGTTGAAGAGGAAGAGAGGCAGAGGAAGACAGATAGAAAAGAGTCTGGAAAGTTTGACATCATGACATGGGGGAGCATCTGTGTTAGAGCTGATTGAAAGTACACAATACAGAAGGTTGTGGATGGACATGAGTACCAAAACCACACAGCGTGGACTTAAAGAAGAAAATATATTAAACGTGAAAATTTCAGGAAAGGGTGATTGGGGAAAGGAGGGGGGGGGGGGGGGGGGAAGTTCTGGTTGTTCGTCCACCTCTTGACTCGAGTCTTGTTCCAGAACCTGAGTGTCGCGCGCACATCCATTTTACAGACCTGACTTATGTATTTGTAGATTGTCGGTCCCTTGCCTCACAGTCAGATGCACTCTGACGTCGAAGGACGCCCTCAGTTAGTCAACTCTTATATGCTTGTTTGGGAGACAATGGGTCTATTTTTGTTTTCCCCAAAATGGGGTCCCACAACCCATAAGGTGATGGCTGACAATGATACCTGTGTAAAGCAGAGATGGACTTACTGGTACTTGCTGAGCTCTGACTGTTTCCTCTCCAAATCACACCTCACTTTGTTTCTCTCTTCCTCTGCCATATCTTTCTCAGACTCCAACAGCCGCCTGTCCTCCTCAATTCTGGCTTCAATCTCAGCCATGGCTTCTTTGGAAACGTGCTTCCTCCCTGAACAACGGAAGCAAATAAAGCAGAAGGTTTTAGGCACATAGAAACACAACCATCTTAACAAGCCAGAGTTGGTGGTGGTAGTATATTAACTTTAATGTTCGACCACTCCTCTTTCAACTTCTTCTTTCTTGTCTACTTCTATTCCCAACTCTGCTTCTTCCTCCTCTTCTTCTATTCCCAACTCTGCTTCTTCCTCCTCTTCTTATATTCCCAGCTCTACTTCTTCCTCCTCTTCTAATTATACTGTCACTATTTATAACTCTACATCAAGCAATGAAAACATGTCCTCACTGTGCTCATCCCTCACTACAGCTATCAGGTCACCCATACCGTCATGCCAGCTTAGGTAAAGTTTGAGATACACCATAACACTTTAGATTTTGTTCTCTTCTTTAATTTAAAAAAAAAATTCTAACTTTTAATTCTTCATAAAATAATGACAAATGCAAATTACATCTACATATTTCATCTATAATAGTCAGTTCATTCAAAATTCAACTTTTACTTATTTAATCATATTCTTCAACAAGTGCTTTAACAAGTCGCCTAAAAGAGAATGTTTCGTCGAGTTAATTAAATATGTATATATAAAAAAAAATAAACATTCTACAACCCTTTTACCTTTTCTTACTGGGCTGTCTAAGTTTACTCTACAGAGTATTCCAGACTCCCAAACCTGGTGTAACCTTAACTATCTTTTCTCTGTTGCTGCCTCTACCTTCTACCCTTATCCTGCCTAAGTCTTCCCAGCAAAGGGCTCTCTTTATATAAGGCTTTTTGCAGACTGTTCTGGCAAGTGTTGAGTACGTGAGGAACACTGGCAACTGTGCAACGGAAATATAATATCGCAATACAATTTAGAATATTCTCATCAACAAGGTATTTAACAGTACGTTATGGCTAGGTCACATGATGTTTGACTAGATTTTTGGAAATCTCTAGAAGGGAAGACCAAGGCCATCGTAGACCTGGTTGATGCGTACCAATTCCGTCCCTGCTTTGTTTAGGTGGGAATAAAACTTTCTAGAAGGCTGCTGATTCCAATTGTATTTGACTGTACACAACTAGTGCAGTGTCACTGTTACAATATATTTCCAGAATGGTGGTCACATTTTGTACAAGGTCTTTTCATAAAATTACAAAATTGTGATACTTAGCCATAGGGCAGATACTTTTATTGAACAGACCTTGGTATGTTTTAACTATCAGCAGATACTGGAACAACAAGTCTTTCCTACAGCAATATTTGTTTTAACTTGCTTGAAGCAGACAAAACTCAAGGCTGACCTCTTCTCTTCTTGACCAGTTGCTTGAGTCCACAGTGGTCAACAACTTCCTCCTCTGAGTCAGAATCAGCATCACTGGCATCATCATCAGAAACACCTACAACAGAACAGGACATCACCAGCCAATTAATACAACACTGAGGCCACTAACTCATTTTTGTCTTCTGTGTGTTGCATTAACTCTTTCGGTTCCAAGGAGTTGTTAAATTTACCACTTATATCAAATGATGTGTAGATTAAACACAATTAACACTTAGCTGCGTACAATTTCAACAGGGACACTTTAGGACAGATGTGGCTGGACTAGTAGTTCATACCCAAAGGGTTAACATAAACTCCGTCTGTGAGAGAAGACAGCAAGAGCATTGTTTTATCTTTGGAATTACCAAGAAACATATGGTGAGCTGTTTGGTACTGAAAAAATTCATCTGCTGTGTCCAATTTATTACTTTAACAGCAATTAATTTTCCCCAGGAAACTTAAGTTGGACTCGACGAGGAACCAATGTCATCAATAAGCCATTATCTACAAACAGTAAGTCCACAATGTTAAAATAGAAAGAAAGGGACTGGCACAGGACAAGTGATGGAAAATGACAGTCAACAGATCAAATGGTTTGGTCATGTAATCAGATTGGCAACAGACAGGGCCCCACAGAGAGCAATGCTAAACAGATACAGTGGTAACTTCTTCTTCTTCTTCAGCGATCTCTGGTCATGCGCATAATCCACTGTGGGTCATAAACTGGGATGTCTTTTCAAGGTCTCTTAGGTTTCCCCAAAGCTTAGTTGTCAGTTCTACTGAGTGTTGCCATATGTCGCTCCGCAGCTCCGCCAGGAGAGGACAGTCTTGCAGGACATGTTCTGGAGTCTGTTCAGCACGAAGACACTGGCAGAGAGCTGTTTGGCTCATACCTAATTTATATGAGTGTTTATTGAGTCTGCAGTGTCCAGTGCGTAACCGAAATACTGTGACTTGGTCTGTTCTGTTCAAGTGCCTCAGAAAATCTTTTCCGTAGTTATAACCAGTGTTGTTTTTCCAATCTGTTTCTGATTTTCTCTTAATGAGAGTTTTGACTTCTGGAAAAGATAGTGGCTGGTAGGTCTGTAGTTTGTTACTGCCTTCCTTGGCTAAAGCATCTGCGCTTTCATTGCCTTTGATGCCGCAGTGAGACAGAATCCACTGCAAGTGAATTTCTGCCTTATTTGACAACATAGCAAGTTCCTGTGTTAGACTTTGTAGTGTGCTGTCGGTAGGTTTGGACTCAAGGGCCTGTACAGCTGACAGTGAGTCAGTGAGAAAAACTATCCTGCCTGCGGTGATTTGCAGATTGTTCATATACTGTGCTGCCATCAATAGAGCTGAGAGTTCTGCCTTGTAGTTAGAGCAAGTTTGTCCGGTGGGGGCTGCTAGGGACACAGTAGTGGCATCTGGGTGTTTTATGTAAACACCTGCCCCACCATTCATAGTTGCCTCTTTTGCTGATCCATCCCTGTAGATTCTTGTCCAGCTGTCCTGTGGGAACATGTTGTTGAGGTGTTCCATTGTGAGTGCTTTCTTCACTAAAGCGGGCTCAGCATCTTTGTTTCCCAGGTTCGGGATGGATGTGGACACATTGAGTGTCAATAATTCGGAGTCCCACAGATCGAAAGATAGCTCTTCAGGTGTACATTGTTGGTTAAGTAGTGAAGAGAATGACTTTCAAAATTCCTTCGTTAGATGGTTTAGGCTTGTGCGCTTTATTCTGTTTTTTGTCCTGGCTGCCAATTTTTCGTGTAATGGGTGGTTTAGCATTCTCTTCATTTTTTCAGCATGTAGAATTGCTGTTGACCTTCTTCTTTCTTCTAAGGGGATGATGTTGGCTGCCTTTTCCATTTCTACCATTGGTGTAGATTTTATGGCTCCCAGAATTGTACGCAGACTTCTATTTTGCGTTTTGTCTAGTATCTGTTTATTGGAATGGGCTGCTGTTATCCATGACGATGATGCGTATTCGCTTCAAGATACAACTGTCTGCTCCCCAAGTGGTGCCTGCCAATTTCTTCATCACACCTTGTTTTCTCATAGCTTTTTTGTTAGTTTCTAGTATGTGATGTTCCCATGTTAGACGACTGTCAAGCTTGACTTCCAGGAAGGTTGGAGTATTGGAGCGTGGAACAGCATCATTGTTGAATTTTAATGTAAACTTTTCCTCCTTTGTAGACAATGAGAAGAGTGTTGCTACAGTTTTGTTCCTGTTTACTTCGAGGCCCCATTTGTTGGCCCAGTTTATGACACTATTCACACTTTCCTGGAGTTTTGATATGGCAGGTCCAATGAACTCAGAGGTGTGCCACACAGCTAGGTCATCTGCATGAAGAGAATGTGATACATGTCTGACAGTGGTAACAGAGCCAGAGGTCGACCACGCAGAAGATGGGCCGTTGAAATACTGGAGACACTAAACATGCTGTATGTGAAGTGAACAGAAGAGCCTGTTCAAGCGATCTCTTCCTGCCCGATGTTGCAAAGCAATAGCATTACAGGAGTAAAGTAGAGAAGAAGAAGGTGACAGAAACAAAACAGAAACATAACTATCACCAGGTAAGTATGCTAACCACTGTGGTTCCCTGTTAAAACTTTCACTCTCAGAGGTTGATGATTCAGCGGAGCCTGTGAAACCACTAAAACAGGTATGTGGCACTGGATAGTTTTAAAGAAAACCAACAAAGCTCAATTTACAGAACTGGTTATGTTTGCACTTGCCCAGTGTTTAGAAGGAGCAGGTATGATTGTATTTACTAAAAATTGCATTTGGAAGGGTAAGGATTATTTTGGAGAAAAAAAAAATTATTTTAACTCTTTCAGGCCCATGAATTTTGACATACTTGGCCCACATTAATTTCCCTTTACAAAAATGGCAGAGGGGTGGGTGTACAAGAAAGGCTGTAGAGACTGTAATATACTTCTAATCCTTATAACAGTATATATTTTTTTAACGTGAAATGAGTGTACATTCTGAATCTGATGATAAGTGTTTGTTTAATTTTGTTATAGTAAGTGGAAAAGAAGAATTCAGCAGGTGTTAATTTCACAAGGACAACATTTCACAAAAAAATTCTTCACTTACCATGGTTTTGCAGCCACAAGAATAGTAAATATCCAAATTTGAGAACAAAACTTCAAAGTTTGTTCAATGTCCTAACATATTCTAAAGTTATGATAACTTTCTGGGTTAGTTTATCACTCAGGGACTCTTAGTTCCTACCGAGTGCTAAGAAAAATTTCAGAGAAAAAATGGCAGAAAAATGAGCCATAACACACACACTATTTACTATTCACTTTGTACAGTTATTTACAGACTGTAGCTGCGATGATTTCAATGTAGCTTAGCCATAGTATAGTACTGTCTCTTTGTTTAGAGCACTTTCCTTCTCTTACACCATAAATACGGTAGTATGGGACATTGTCTGTGTAATAAACTCGTCAGAATCGCTAGATTCCGAACAGCTGATCGCTCAGCTTCACTGGTGAAAATTCACTGTCTGAATCCCTTTCCGAAAAATCTAAATTTTTATTATCATTTTCACAATTAAAAACATCTGACTGAAACAATTTCAGAGCTTCGGCCGCAGAAAGACGCATTGTGCGACCTGTTCTTGTGGTTAGAACATTGGTATTCAGTGCACTCAAAAACGAAGTTAGAAAATAAACTGTTAAACAAATTTTGATGTTTTTTTCTCTCAAATTATCCACGTGTGGTTTAGTCCAAGAAGTGAAACTAAAAGGATTTCGGCAGAGTGACTTTCCCTGAATAGGTTATTCGTACCTCCAAACATTAGAAACTAGTACGAACGCGCATGCGAAGCAAAATGTAAGAGATACACGATTAACGATGACACCGTTGTTTGGGCAGAACGGAACTTCTCAAACTACGCTCACACCGTTGTTTGGGCCTTAAAGAGTTAAGCATTATGACATTACAATTTGACTTTAACCTGTAGCGTTAGCGTTCGCATAGCAACAAGGTCAAGCTATGAGTCACTGTATAAAGTTTGTTCAAACTCAAGGGAATGTATTCAATTTATTCTCCATTGAATTTATGTTTACTGATTACTTCCCTTTATATACTGCTTCGTGCAAAGTGACAAGCATTACTTCAGAGGTCCTGGGTAGTTAGCATCCTTTGGGTATTTTCCCCCGGTCATGCTATCGTGTTGGGAAATGAGCAGGTAGATAAGACAGGCTGGCTCTGCTCCACTTGGTAGTAAACTGATGTATGACAAGTTAGATATAGAGAGGGCCTTTTAGGAGCGAGTAAACAGTGCTGAGGCGCAGATAGATCATTACAGTCTAAAGAGAATGGCGCTGCGAGGAGTTACTAGAGGATCTGGCCAACTCTCAACACTCAGTAGAAGGATGAGATGGATATACAATCAGACGGTTACTGGTACCATCAGAAATGGAACTCTTCGCTTGCTTCTGAAGATGGGGACTGAGCACCTATGGGAGTGTTTCAAGTGCTGTGATGTTGATTCTTCTTTTAACATTCAACAATCATTCAACTGCTAAAAAAATTGTTTTGTTAAAAGCATATAAATATATGACAGAAAAAACTATTTGCTGACCAGTGGTTTTTAAAAATATTTTTCGGGAATTCCCAGGTTCATGAGCGCCCCCCCCCCCCCCCCCCCCAAAAAAAAAAAGCTATCACTATAGAATGTCTATATCAGCAGAGACAACTCTATGAGAGTGACAAGAAAAGAACTGCTTTTTATGAATCTGTTTGCCAAAACTTCAGGAAATATGAATGTGTCCTATTAGAACCTCTAGAAAATAGAGGACAAAAGAACAATACTCTACATCAAGGATGGGCAAACTATGGTCATCAGGCAAAAACTGGCTTGCTGAGCAATTTTTACTGGCGAGCTGACCCTTCAGAAAGCAATAATAGACTAAGAGACACAAAACTTGCCATGAAAAACCACAACAGCCGAAAATTGCTGATGTTGGTTCTGCAATGACTTGTAAAGGATGGGCAACTGACTTAAACTAGTGTGACCCACAAGAAGAGACAGCGTTACAAATACCAGCATTAAAGAGCAACTTGGAATAAGACCATGTCTGGATTATCCCGAAACACAGAGAATGAAATGGTTCAGCTATCTAGTGAGAATGCAGCCAGACCAAACTGCATACAAACGTTTTACAGCAGAACATCTGGGAGGAAGGCAAGAGGAAGACCAAGAAAGAAATGGATAAATGGGGTAGCTGAAACCTGCAAAAAGATGAACAAATCCATCACAAGCCAATAGAGCAATGGCAAGACAGATACAGAAAACTATGACATTGTGCTACAACCTGGTATCATTGAGATGACAAAAGAAGAAGAAGACCCACCTTCTTCTAGCTGTCTCTTCAGATCCTCAATCTCCTTCTGAAACTGCCTGAGCAGTGCATCTTTAGGATCTTCATTGATCTTTGGTTTGTTCTTGATGTTCTTGGCCCTGTTGGCATACCTGAGGGTGCTGACTGACTCGTCATAGTTGCAGTCAGCGGGGCCGATGTTGGCCACCTGAGGACAAGCCAAGACCACAGGATCGTACAATGATGTTAGCTGACATAACCTGTCATGATGTTAATGGTATATGAAATGTATAGTACCATAAATAGTGGCAGTCAGCGGGGCCGATGTTGGCCACCTGAGGACAAGCCAAGATGACAGGATCATACAATTATGTTAGCTGACACAACCTGTCATGATGATAATGTCGTATGAAATGTATAGTACCATAAATAATGAAATGAGTTGAAATGGGGTAAAACTGTGAAAATGTAAAGAACTGGATAACACAATGTACACGTCTGCCATTACAAATATGTCAATACTTCCTGTATTTACCTCTTCCGTGATGCAGACAGCAGGTTCTTTAAGACTGAGAATTTAAGGCCTCATGGCTTTGTGCAGTCGCCGCAGGCTAGGATTTTATTTTTTACCTCTACCAGAAACAAATCTGTAACCTTATCTGTGATTGGCACCCGGGTCTTCTGCATGAGATCACATCATTCTCGACTGTTTAACCAGCTGCCTCTCAATTGCAGCTTAGCATTAAAAAAAAAAAAAATAGGATGTTGTAGTCTGGTAATCTGGTAATCTGGTAATCTGGTAATCCTAGTTTCAGCTTCATAGCAAACGGGTCACCCACATATGCTCCGCTCCTGTGCCAACGAAAAACAAACGCAGCTCACAGTGTCACGCCATGCACTCAACTCAGAAGCTGGGCGACGAAACTACATCCTTCCAGTCTACAAATGGAGCAAAAATGCAACGGCCACTGTCTGGAAAAATATTTGCCACGGCTTAAAAAAAAAAAAAAAAAGTGGCCGTACCTAGCGTCCATTTTGACCGGAAGAATTATATGAGGGTTAATAAACGGTCACCCCAGCAGTACCCTCATTATTAGCTGGGATGTTGTAGTGATAAGGCCTTCTTCAGCAAACACAATGGGGGGGGGGGGGGGGGGGGGGGGAAGAAGGACAACACAACCAAGGAAATAAAACTAAAGTAGCTACATTAAAGTATTATACTATTATACAGGGTTATTAAAAATGATGGATACACTTTTATTCATGTATATTTCCTTGAATATACATTACATATTAATAAGATTCATACAAAAGAGAGACAGGAAGGTCTAAGTTTTGAATATTACCTCTAGTGCGCAGATGTGTAACCAACCTCTTGTGTGTACATGCTCGTTTCACCAAATTTGACAAGAAATGCTTCTTTGTATATGGGATGAGTTCGGCTACCGCTGAGATGTTTGCAGGGCAGCAAACAGATGGCGGCCATACTGAATATCTAATAACCTCTGTTGTAAGTTTGTAAACTTTAGACCTTACCCTCTCTCTTGTGTGTATATTATTAATATGTAATGTAAGTTCAAGGAAATATACATCAATGAAAGTGTATCCATCATTTTGAATAACCCTGTACAATCACTGGAAACCATGTAAAAAGAATAAAATAAAAAATGTGGTACTCAGCTTTCTATAGGCCCAAGGAGTTAGGGAGGACAGATATACAGTAATGTAAGGGATATACAGTACCATTGCACTGGAAAAGGGGATATAGTAAAGTCTGGTCGAGTGGTAAAGATGGGAAACTGAGATGGCAGAAGGGACAAAATCTAAAAAGAATCCAACACATGTGGATATATAAAGCAAGACATATAAGAAATGACATGAGGTTTCTCTTTTACTGTCAGCTATAACAATGAGACAGTAATGCACTCCCCACGACAATAATATTTTGCTTTTAATTTTGCTTTTAAATTATTCCTCCCCACGACGCTTAACGGCAGAAGTGGATGATGATGATGATGATGAATATTTTGCTAGCTTGTGATGTCTGCCATACAATGCAGTAACAGTCGACATCAACTCAGTGACAGCTAGGTTAACACCATCAGTACTTACAAAAGAAATTGTGAGGCGTTCCCAAAATAGAGGTTAGCCACAGTGTACCAGTGCTGTCTTTGGGAATATTAGTAAGACCCCAGACATTTCTTCCAAGTTGCAACTCTTGCACCAGAGTCCAAAAACCACAAAAATGACTTCAATAAATAAATAAACTCTTTTCTTCACTTTTAGCATCGATGTTTATCTACACAGCCCAATAACAGTTTAAGGCAAATTAGTGGAAGTTCTTTGGTCATGTGATGAGAAAAGGTGCACTGGAAAATATTGTGACGACTGGACAGATCACTGGTAGAAAAGGCAGACCAAGAGAAACGTTGGTGGATGGCTTAAGGCACTACATAAAAGAATATCATCAGGGGAATTAATCCAGAACACCAAAGACCGAGATCTGTGGAAATGCAATAACGCCTACGCCAGCTGGCAAGGCACTTGATGATGATGAGAGTTAGCCAGGTTAACACTGTCAACACTGTTTTCAATCCTAACAGAACCCGGGCAAGGAAAATGTGAACTAACATAATGTGTAACAGTATGAGAAACAAGGGAATATAATACATAAGTAAAAGTGCCATCATGCGGATGAGGATCACCTGGGAAGAGGTCCCAGAAACCCTGTTTAACTGTTAGGTTATATTAGACAACTTATCACAGACATCAGAAGGAGATAGTCATCATTTTTCTGCCATGTTATGAGAAGAGGGAAAATAGAACATGTTGTTACCACTGGAAAGATCTGTGGAAGGAAGGATAGAGGAAGACGAGAGAAGATTCTTGACAGTCTTGTTGATTGGCATGGAGATCTGTCAGCACACGAACTGATACATGCTGCAGGAGATCGCAGATTGTGGAGAGGCATGATTGCCCACCCCAGTCGGCAAGGCACCTGATGATGATGAAGAATCAGCTCAAATTACGACACATTTTCTTCTTGTACATCATCACTTCATAGCACTGCATGTTGTTAGGTCACTGTCTGATCAACTCCCTCCATCTTTGGCTATCAGATGTGATGGGCTTCATGGTCGCAGGCCTACAACCTGTCTATTCAGTCAAGTTCTGTATTCTTGATTTTCATATTTAACGGCTGTAAACTCTGGATAAAAGTTCTGGTTGTTCATCCACCTCTGGACTTTCGTCTTTTTTCCTGAATCTAGTTTTGCGTGTTTTACAGATCTGGCTTATTTGTATGTATAGCGATGGTTCCTTGCCTCTCAGGCAGATGCACTCAGACAGTTTGCGATCCAATCCTTGATTGGTTTCACTGACCATCACCATTCTGTGTAGATGTAGTGTCTTTAACACAGACATACACACGCTAGTGGCAAGGTGTGCAGGTAATGGTAGTAATCAACGCTTACAATTTCCATTTTACAACAGAAAAATGCTTCATTTTATACTATTTATTACTACTGTTTACTATTTATTACAAATATGCAACTCAGTTTATATCTCACCGAGCCCATTCAGCTTGTTAAGAGTATTAACATAGCGAAAACAATGTTCAATACACGCTTAAGTCAGTCGTGCAGAAACTGTAACGTGTGAGAGCTATAAGTTACTAATACTATAATGCTAGCTGAGCACGCATACTCTCAACAGCTAAGCGACGAGAAGAAAAAATAACATGTAAAATCCCCTCCTGTGTAATCTTTACCTGCTATTGTTTGTCTTAACCACTTTCACATGCAAAGTGATCAAACTCGCCACTGATACACACACATATGCACGCACACACACACATTTGCATGCACACACAAATACATGAATGCATAAACACAAGGACATCCTTAAGCAAACATACCAACACACGTATGCATGTATATGTGCACGCACACACACAACTCAAGTTGAGCAAGAAACAACATGACTTACTGTTTTTGTTTCCTAAAATCATAATTCGGTCCATGTCATCAGCATTATTGACAACAAAGGCAGATAAGTCCCTGACGTAGACACCAACATCTGGTCTCTCTTTCACCTACAGAAGACAAATTACACCCTGTGACTGACAAGGATAATTCTCAAGGACTCACTCTAGAGATTTACAAACAGTTGCTACTCCTGTGGAACTAGAGTGAAGTTAAACAAATAGGAAGGACAGAGCGTTAGCTGCATGTTAACTGTGACTTCCGAATGCTTTCTACCCAATATGAATTGGTAACAGGTGCACACGAGTGAATTAAAAATATATCGATTGTTCACGATCACCGGTGTGGGTTCTGGGGCCACACTGTAGGGAAAACAATAAAAGACTCACTGCCTCCCCAACAAGCATGTCCTAGGAGTTAACTAGCTGGGGGCTTCCTTCGAAGTGGAGTGGAGAGCATCTGCCTGAGTGGCAAGGAACAACCAACCGCACACAAATAGGCCAGTAAAATGTATGAACACACAAAACTCATGCCTTGGCACAAAGCCAAAGTCAACATGGACAAATACCCAGGACTTTCTGCGGGAGCTCACAGACGGTGAAAACGAAGAAGAAGCAGTTCAGTCACATAATTGTAAAGTATGTAGCTGGTTTCTCTTTGTTTTTCAACCATCATAGACAGTATCTGAAATTGTTAGCAAGTGATGTAGTTTATATCAATGTCCTCCCAAGTTGGAATGCAACTGCCTGAGAGGCAGGGAGCCAACAGTCTGCACAGAGGTAAGCTATATCTGTAAAATGAATGCACACGCATAAGTTTAAATTCTGGAATAAGATAAAAGTGGATGAACTGGGTGAACAACCAGAACTTTCTGCCCGGGTTTACAGCCGGCGAAAGATAAGAAGAAGAAAGAATAGTTTACATCAATGGACACAAATATGTAAGACATAAAATAGTTGTGTACTCAATTTCATTAAAGTCAGCCCACTCCTTCAATCTGCCCCCCAACCAAAACCCTTCCCCCAACACATGCCCATGTACACACATACATAAAGAAACATCATAGATAAGCTCTGCCCCCCCCCCCCCCCAACACATGCCCATGTACACACATACATAAAGAAAACATCAAAGATAAGCTCCCCCTGCCCCCCCCCCCCCCCCCCCCCCCATGTACACACACACACAAAAAGAAACATCAAAGATAAACTCTGACCTCAAGTCGCTGCTGCTGGTCCTTGCCCAGCAAATCTCGGACTTCCTCATTGTATATCTCCAAGTATGAGACTCGAACCAAAAACCTGCCACAAAACAACAGTATGTTATTTAAATCTATCTGCACGATCTTATAATTTCACCAGCCTAGTCTCCTGGTCCTTGCTGCCCTGGCCTACGTGGACATCACCCCTCCCCATATTGTACTGCAGGTTACAACTGGTTGGTGTAGCCATTACGGCACCATAATTATAACTTATTTGGCGACTGAACGAGGGATATCTGGGATGTGCCTTGTTGGTCTGCCTTCCAGATTTAGATTTTAATCTCAAGACAGTATGGTAAACCTTTTAGCGAACAGGCCAGAGATAAAGAAAATGATACATTAATGTGTGGGCTCCCCAGGAAATGACTACTTTTCAGGGACAAATTCTAATCAGAGTAAAGTTTGTTTAGTGTCCAGTCAAGTTTTCAACTCCATTACCTGTGGAATTAGGTATGTTACAAAATTAATTAACAAAAACAATCACGGTTTAAATCATGATTTTAAAACAAACTGGGTGATGTGAACATTTATCATAATTTTTGTCGGTGGCATTTCCACAGTGGCGTTTGGCTGCAGTGTATTTGCGCATTTATGGATGTCTCTGGGAATATTATGTCTTTTTTTCTCTAGGGGTCCATGACTTGTCTATCCACAACCTTCTGTCTCTTGTACTTGCTATCATTTCTGACTTGGATAATCTTCTATGCCATGACATCAAACTGTCCAGCATCTTCTCTCTGTCTCCCTCTGCATCTTTTCCCCTCCAAGTCTCCTATCATCACAATGTTTTCCAGCTGTCTCCTTTTCATAATATGACAAACAAATGTAGATTGTCCCCTTCTGATGTGGGTAATCAGTTCTTTTCATAAGTCAGTTGTCCAAGACATCTTTATTACTCTTTGTACATCTTCCAGGGTTTTATCACCATTAATGTAAAAATCCACATGTTCACTGCTTCCAGAGTTTAAAAAAAAATTAATTGGCCAACTGTCCATGATTCACTTTTGTATATCAGGATATACAAGATCTGGTTTTCCCCCGCCCAAATTGTGCTACCATGGAGTAAGTTTAATATGTTGAATATGTATATTTTCTAGCCTATTCAGCTAGCAACATTTGGTTATAAACAAATAAAGAGTCGTCACTCTGTCTTGTTTTAATTTGACAAAATCTGGAAACCCTAGGCAGATCAGAAGCTGTTAAAGAGAGCTAAGCTTAGGTAAGAGTCAACAGTGTAGCATTTGGGAAATTCCCAGGCACAGAGACAAAGAATAAAGGTGGACACTAGACTTACCTGACATTATCTTCAGCTTTAGCAATGTGACCAAAGATGTGAGCAAAGGAGTTTGGTATAATCCCTCTCTTCTCTGGGATAGCTCTCAGACCTTCCATGGTGAATGTTTTCCCTGTCCCAGTCTGACCATAAGCAAAGATTGTGCCTGGAATAAAATGTTAACGAGTTAATCAACACATCATCCCCATTGCACATTGAGCCAATCAGTCCATAAGTGCTCGGATCGCCCTCTCTGTAAATCTGGCGAAGTGTCATGGCTGAAGACACCACTACTGAGTTGGTTTATTTGTACTATTTGGCTTCCTGTAGAGTGCTCTCATCTGGCTTCACAAATTCTTACTTCTTGTAGAATTCAGTATTCACCAAACTCATCCCCTGCTTGTCCACCCTCCTAAGCTTCAAGCCAATTAGCTCGTTAATTCCCTTCACACCTGCAAGACCTGGCACACAAACTAAACTGACCTTTGTCAGCTGTGACCGCCTCACAAATTTCAACCACTGTCTCCAGACACAGCTCATTTCCATCTTCTTGAGCATACTCAGCCAGCCATTGAGAATGACACGAAGTAAATCAAGAACCTGAAGAATACTTTCAACATCAGGAATATAGTGGAACACATTGTTTCATTAATATTAAGGACAGATCAGATAACTTTTGCCTAGGGTTAACACCAGTTCTTTGTGAGTTTGGAAGAAACACATCTCTCTTGATATGTATAATAAAAATGCATGCTGAGTTATCATTTACCTTTAAAATACGTTGTGTATCTGAGTAAATTAACACATCCCTTTGAAGAATGCAGGTGCCTGGCTCTCTAGCGCAGTTGGCTAAACCGGACTGCGCGGTGACTGGGTGACGAACTCCTTGTGGTCCAGGTTCACGCCAGGGGGTGGGTAGAAAAGCCACATTTCTCCCAGATTTACGGTATTTACCTTGGAATCAAGGCCGAAAGGTTGCTATATCCACAATACCGAGACCATTTCATCTTTTCCTTTATGAATATGGTGCAAAAGCTTGGTTACCGTAATGTGTCTGATTGTATTATCTCTCACTTGGTGTCAGATGGTTAAGCTGGTAGTTTTTCTGGCTGTATTGTAATGAGATGACTGAACCATTTCATCTTTTCCTTCATGAATATAGTGCACAGCTGAGTTGAGTTGAGTTGGGTCAAGAATTGACATCACAGCACTCAGGGCATTCCCTATAATGCTCCGTCCTTATCTTCAGCAGCCAGCGCAGAGTTCCAATACTGATGGTACCGGTCGCAATCTGGTTATATGTCCGTCTTGCCTTTCCTCTGAGTGTAATGAGCCGGCCAGACCCTCTGGTTACACCCAGGTGCCTCAGTCTCTCCAGGCCATAATAATCTTGTTTCGCTTCTGATTCTGTTGCTTGTTCCCAAAGGGGCTTGACCACAAAAGTATGTTTCATGCAAAGCATTGTTACCGTAATGTGTCTGATTTTAAAATCTCTCCCTTGGTGTCAGAAGAATAAACTGTTGATTTTCCTCAAGCATACAATCCTACAGGTGACAACTTTACGGAGGTGTGAGCCTTGGACATGATTCAAGTCTAGGACTGATAGAACACTGTTATACCAATATGCTGTTTTGTAATCTGTTGCTCGATAGGTAGCTAGGTAGCTGTACCCCACCAAGCGATAAACACCCGCTGACACAAAGTGCCACCATGCCGATGAGATCTACTCGTAGAGAGGTCCCAGAAACCCCTTTCAGCCGTTAGGACATATCTATAGCTAGGCCATATCTATACCCCAGCAATTTTCAGGGCTCCCGGCAGAAGCCAGGGTGGAGCTTCAAATAACAACAAAATGGCATCCCACATGGGGATGTCTGATACATTTTGCTCAATAGTCATACTTATGTCTTAATAATGGTCTCAGTTGGTGTATAGAAGTGTACCAACTTTTCGGCATCTTGTTTTCTATTTCTCAATCTTTTCTATCATCCCCGAGGAATTTTCTTCCTAGATCAGGACAATTCAAGTAGCAGCCAAGTATGGCCCATAGTGACCTAGCAAGTGGCCCGCGGATCATTGCCAGTAGTATTGTAATAAAAATCTTCCTATGGTGGGTCTCTGGCCCTCAGTGACCTAGCAAGTGGCCCGCAGATCATTGCCAGTAGTATTGTATTAGAGATCTTCCTATGGTGGATCTCTGGCCCACAGTGACCTAGCAAGTGGCCCGTGGATCATTGCCAGTAGTATTGTATTAGAAATCTTCCTATGGTGGATCTCTGGCCCACAGTGACCTAGCAAGCGGCCTGCGGATCATTGCCAGTAGTATAGTATTAGAGATCGTCCTATGGTGGGTCTCTGGCCCACAGTGACCTAGCAAGTAGCCTGTGGATCTTTGCCAGTAGTACTGTATTAGCGATCGTCCTATGGTGGGTCTCTGGCCCACAGTGACCTAGCAAGCGGCCCGCGGATCATTGCCAGTAGTATTGTATTAGCGACCTTTCCATGGTGGGAATCTGGCTCACAGAGAACTAGCAAGTAGCCCGTGGATCTTTGCCAGTAGTACTGTATTAGCGATCGTCCAATGGTGGGTCTCTGGCCCACAGTGACCTAGCAAGCGGCCCGCGGATCATTGCCAGGAGTATTGTATTAGCGACCTTCCCATGGTGGGACTCTGGCCCACAGTGATCCCCTTTTTTACCACATTCTGGCCCTTGAGTAAGCTTAGCTGAACTGTCCTGTCCTAAACAATTCTTTAACTTGCCTCAGACAAATACTATTTCAATTTGTATGAAGTTTGTATCTAAGCAGAGTGTAATATATATCAAATATTGTACATCTCAGTACAATGTAACAAACAAAAAATATCTGATGTATTTCAAAGGTGAAAGTGTTCCATCACACTGTCAATACATGTGGTTGAAACTCTGACACTCTGCACCAGTGGTTCTCAAACTGTTTTCACCCCGGCACCCTTGTCGTGCTAAAAATATTTTGCAGCCCACCTACCCTTAAAGCGGTTTGAATGCTTAGGAAAAGAAGGAAATCAGTTCACATTTAATGCTCAGTTGTCTTTCATGCGATGAATGTAACCGTTTTGGATACAAATACCCTTTGTGTACATGGGAAGTTTAGTTGATTTTACCCCCAAATCACGTGACCCAGAAAGTTTGCTCCTGTGTCTGTTTTATATGTAAGTGTACGTTGAGAAAGCACTTGACACACTTTCCAACAGCCTTGTCTTCTGAATACACCTGCATCCAGAACTCTTCTAAGCTTCCTTCACAGTACTTCTGTTTTAAACTGCTGCCTTTGCTGTTCTCAATTAGATTTTGAAAAATTCTTGATTACTGCTGCGGCACCTCTGGCATACGCTAGTGACACCCCTGGCATATGCTCACGGCACCACTGGCATACGCTCGCAGCACCCCTGGCTTACGCTTGCGGCATCCCTGGCATACGTTCGCGGCACCCAGTTTGAGAACCTCTGCTCTACACACTAAGGAAAAGCAAGACGAATATGTAATCAAACTACTGCTGGCCAGCTACTGGTTTGGAACTGGCATGTTTTGCTGGCTGCTGAAGATAAGGACGGGGGTGTGTATGAGAACAATCATGAGCGCTGTGATGTCAGTTCTGAGATTAACACTCAACTGTTAACACGTCTGAGTGGAACAATATCACATACTACAGGCACAGATTTAGGACAGCCGAGAATGTCAGTCAGTAAAACATACCATTGTACCCAGTGAGCACACAGTCAACAACAGGCCTGGCCACTCTGTTGTAGACATCCAGTTGTTTACAATCTGGCCCAAAGACAATGTCAAATGTGAAAGCCTTTGCTGGTTCACTTGGGGAGTCTTGAGGGTTTTTCACCGTCACTGTACCTCTGACTTCATCAACCTGGACACAATGTGAAATAACTTCATCAATCTTATGGTGAAACATTCTTACATATCATGACAATTAGTTTACATCTCACAAACATAAAATAAACCAGACAATCACCTTTTTGTGATTATTATCCTACATTTCATTTAAGTAAACCAGATTATCAACTTACCGTGACTATTATATTGTGTCTCACATACATAAACCAGACAATCAAATCTTTGTGATTATTATCCTACATTTCATTTAAGTAAACCAGATTATCAACTTACCGTGACTATTATCTTGTGTCTCACATAAATAAACCAGACAACTTTTTGTGATTATTATCCTACATTTCATTCAAGTAAACCAGATGATCAACTTTCTGTGACTATTACCTTATATCTCAGAAAACATAAACCAGATAGCCAACCATGTAGCTCAGATAATGCATTTACTCTGGATATTATCCAGCATCTCACAAACATAAATCAATGAACGTAACGTGACAATTATCTTATATCTCACAAACATAAATCAATGAACGTAACGTGACAATTATCTTATATCTCACAAACATAAATCAATGAACGTAACGTGACAATTATCTTTTATCTCACAAACATAAATCAATGAACGTAACGTGACAATTATCTTATATCTCACAAACATAAATCAATGAACGTAACGTGACAATTATCTTTTATCTCACAAACATAAATCAATGAACGTAACATGACAATTATCTTATATCTCACAAACATAAATCAATGAACGTAACGTGACAATTATCTTATATCTCACAAACATAAATCAATGAACGTAACGTGACAATTATCTTATATCTCACAAACATAAATCAATGAACGTAACGTGACAATTATTTTTTATCTCACAAACATAAATCAATAAACGTAACGTGACAATTATCTTATATCTCACAAACATAAATCAATGAACGTAACGTGACAATTATCTTATATCTCACAAACATAAATCAATGAACGTAACGTGACAATTATCTTATATCTCACAAACATAAATCAATGAACGTAATGTGACAATTATCTTATATCTCACAAACATAAATCGATGAACCTAACGTGACAATTATCTTATATCTCACAAACATAAATCAATGAACGTAACATGACAATTATCTTATATCTCACAAACATATACCAGACAATCAATGTACTGTGGCTATTATCATATATCTCACAAACACACACCAGATAATCAACTTATTGTGACAATTATCTTATATCTCACAAACATAAATCAATGGACGTAACGTGACAATTATCTTATATCTCACAAACATATACCAGACAATCAATGTACTGTGGCTATTATCATATATCTCACAAACACACACCAGATAATCAACTTATTGTGACAATTATCTTATATCTCACAAACATAAATCAATGGACGTAACGTGACAATTATCTTATATCTCACAAACATATACCAGACAATCAATGTACTGTGGCTATTATCATATATCTCACAAACACACACCAGATAATCAACTTATTGCGACAATTATCTTATATCTCACAAACCCACACCAGATAATCAACTTATTGTGACAATTATCTTATATCTCACAAACATAAACCAGTCAACTTACTGTGACAGTAATCTTATATCTTATTAACACAAACTAGACAGTCAACTTACAGTGACTGTTATCTTCTGTCTGACAAACATAAACCAGACAATCAACTTACAGTGACTGTTATCTTCTGTCTGACAAACATAAACCAGACAATCAACTTACAGTGACTGTTATCTTCTGTCTGACAAACATAAACCAGACAATCAACTTACAGTGACTGTTATTGTCTGTCTGACAAACATAAACCAGACAATCAACTTACAGTGACTGTTATCTTCTGTCTGACAAACATAAACCAGACAATCAACTTACAGTGACTGTTATCTTCTGTCTGACAAACATAAACCAGACAATCAACTTACAGTGACTGTTATTTTCTGTCTGACAAACATAAACCAGACAATCAACTTACAGTGACTGTTATCTTCTGTCTGACAAACATAAACCAGACAATCAATTTACCGTGACTGTTATCTTCTGTCTGACAAACATAAACTAGACAATCAACTTACAGTGTATTATATGTCTGACAAACATAAACCAGACAGTCAATTTACCGTGACTATAATCTTGCTGTGTGTCTCAACCTCCCTGTCACTGAGAGGCCTAGATCTCACCACAACCCTCACATTGTCCGAGTCCTTCATGCTGTGTTTCTCCTGCAATGGCCAATTACATTCTAAAGCGATCGATTATTATTAATGATTTTTCTGTCGGGAACACTCTAACCTGCACAGGCTGTGGCGACAGCACTAGTCATGCGAAACTAAATCCTCAGGTTCATGACCCCCTTGTCTCATCATCGACTGGCATGGGTGATCATGCCTCTCCATAATCCACGATCTCCTGCAGCATGTATCAGTTCGTGTGCGGACACACCCCCATGCCATGCAACAAGACTGTCAAGAATCTTCTTTCATGGTCTTCCTCTATCCCTCCTTCCACAAATCTTTCCAGTGGTCAAAACATGTTCTATTTTCCCTCTTCTCATAACATGGCGGAAAAATTATGTCTGTGATAAGTTGTCTTCGGGCTCCCGCCTCTTTCAAAACCTCTTGGTTGCTCTTTTTGGCTGTCCAAGGTATTCTAAGCATTCTTCTGTAAAACCACATCTCTGAGGCCTCAAGAAATTGTTTAGCCTGCCTACCTCTTGTCTACACTGCCCTAAACAGTAGTAAATATAGACAGTAGTGACAGTGATGATTTAGGAACTGTCAACATTGCATACCAGACTACCCATAGATGGTCCGTCTCCAACTGCAAATTTCTTCACCCTGTTGCCCCAGGAAAGCCAGTTTTCCAACTTTTACAGGTTTCTGAAGAAATAACATCAAGTTGCACCTAGCAATGTTTATGTATTCTGTAGTACCATAATCTTAGTCGCCTCACCCTGAAGTAGGTTGGATCTTCACTGGAGCTGCAGGATACGGCCTAGACCATTGTGAGCCAACATCTCAACACTAAAACTACTTCAGAGTGCTTTTTGGTTCATTAGGGGAAACCCTAACAAAGGCACGTGACACCAGCATTATCTAACAGATGCATATATCCACCACAGCTTACCTCCATTGTGGAGATGGCACAATTAGTTTTTATTCAATCAAGGTGAACCCTGCGTATACTTGGTGTGGGTTCTGGGGCCCTGTTATTGGGGGAGGAAAACAGACCACTGCCCCCTAACAAGCAAGTTGTAACGGACTCACAGAGCATGCTTCGGAAAGTAGAAATTGGCACACTACGAGTCTCTTCATTCGCTTGACAAGACCCTGTTCAGGAGCATAACATGGATTTTCTGCCTAGGAGATTCGGGTGTGCGGGGTATTGAGCCAGCTGATAGACTGGCTGTCACCGCTCCTCGTGGTGGTGAGCTACATTATGTGGAAGTGGTTAAGGCTCTCTGGGATCAAGTGGAGAGTGCAACAGAACAGACCAAGTATCCATACATTGATTGACTAATTCAGCGAGGAGTAAGCAAGTGTGGAAGATATTCAGCACTGCAGGGATAACAAAGGTGGACTTTTAATCCGGCTGCATAAGGTACTGATAGCATATCAACTTTCCACTGGCTACTGAAGAAGGAAGCAGAATATGTGGAAACATCCCAGATGCAGGGATGTCATTTCTTGAATTATTCATTCATTTATTCAAACAAATCGTAAAAGGCGACTTATTAGGTGTTTGCTAAAATTAGATCTGTAGGCCCAAAAGGCACAGATACCACAGCCTAGCTGCAAACCACAACACACTGTATGTCCCAGACTCTTTTAAGAGGGATGCCGAAGAAGAACAAGAAGAAGAAGAAGAAGAAGAAGAACAACAACAACAACAACAACAACAACAAGAAGAAGAAGAAGAAGAACAAGAATTGTGTTTTATCATCACACTGACATCAGTACTTGCCAAATATTCAGCAAACAGGCTTTAAACAAACACATTTGTGATATAAGTGTTCTTACCAGCATCACAGACTACGGACATTCAACTGAGAACTGGAAACATGATCACTTTGTTACACAAAGAAGTCTACAATGCTGGTCAAAGATCTGTATTAATCATAAGAACATCATTAACATACTGCCATGGAATACAATCTACACGCTCATGTTTCTTAACAGGAACTGAACATGTATTATCAATGCAACATTTGTCTATCTGAGGGTGAGTGACTAACGTTTAACCCCACTAGGTCTGCATAACGAGCATTTAACATCCAGTGAGACAAAGTGCCACCATAGAGATGAGAAATCCCCAGTTGCAATTCCTGGAAACCCCGTTCAACCGTAAGCTTACATGGGGTATCTGATGCAGGTTGCAATATAACCTAAAGTCTAACTGGCATAGCAATTTAAAAAGCAATTGTGTCCTACATTGGGGCGGAATGTTGTTCTAAGGATTAAACTTTTTTTTAAAAACAAAAGTTTAAAAAAAATGTTTTGAAATATATTTATAAATGTTAAAGAAAACATTCTGCAGATATGTGTGACAGTAATCGGTAAATAAGAATGGAGTGGAGAATTCAATGGATTACATTCCCTTGCCTGTTAGAATCAGAATGCTAACACTAACGCTAGCACAGTTTATGCCACCATAATGGCTTTAAAAATGGTACTTTGTCACAACAAATAAAAAACCAAATGCCCTAAAGGCTTGTTTATTTGTGCAATAATAAAAACATTAACAGTAATAACAACAATTATTTTAACTATCATTGTGCAATTAAACTAAGCTGAATTCTAAAAACAAGGTAAGTGGCTTGGCTTGGCTTTTTTACCCCACCAGGACATCACACAAGCGATAAACACCCGATGACACAAAGTGCCACCATGCGGATGAGGATCACCGTGGAGAGGTCCCAGAAACCGCGTTCAGACATTTGGCCATAATGATGACCTGCCTATATTGCGGCCCCTGGCAAAAGCCAGAGTGGGGCTTCAAATAACAAAAAATAACGTCCTAAGAAGGACGTAAGGAATATATAAGGTAAGTGGTTTACCCTAATTTAGTGATTCATGCAGGTTTACATACAGATATTTCAATGCAATTAATTATATACACACTTATAAATCATTAACAAATCTCAGAAGGTAGGACCATGATATCCCATTTAAATGACTACCTGAAATTATTGTATGATATACAAAATATCAAAATGAAAGGAAAATGGGTACTCCTGTCAAATCCGGACGAAGACTAAAAAGCCTTGGACGACTTAGTCAGAGTTCTCTCCCTTGGCCGCACTGCAAACAGTGATAGGAAAAGTCAACGAAACAAAGAAGACAGTCACGTCGACATCAGGGCTGCCAATGCTTGGTTGTTTCCCCCAGATCTGGGTTTTTTTTTGGATGCTGCAGGACAATTCTGTTTTTTTTTTTGAGTGTGTTTTGTTTGTTGGTTTTTGCCGATTTGTATGCTTTAATGATCGATAAATTTGCGTGGTTAGGGGTAGGGGTTAGGGCTAGGGAGTAGGATTAGGATTAGAGTTAGCGGTAGGGTTAGGTTTAGCATTAGATTTGACAATTTTGACGCCGGAGTTCCCTATAATCGCTCACAGTCCCATACACACACAAATAATCGAGGGCCTCTGGATGCTGGTCAAACGCACATTTCGCCAACGATTGAGGGCACCAGCCGCACGCTATTGGCGTCATATTTGGCAGAGTTTCAGTGGCGCCACTCCCACAAACATTAGATTGTCGGCCAGTATTTCGAAATCCTACATCAAAATTTTCACATCTAACCCTAACCCTAACCCCAATCCTAACCCTAACCCTACCCCTACCCCTAACCCTACCCCTAACTCTAAACCCTAACCCTAACCCTACCCCTAACTCTAACCCTACCCCTAACTCAAACCAAAACACTACGCATCCCTACACGCAACCGTATGATGACTACACATCCCTTCACGATGCCTCACGCAACCGTACGCACCCCTGCACGCAACCGTATGATGACTACACATCCCTTCACGATGCCTCACGCAACCGTACGCAGCCCTACACGCAACTGTATGATGATAGGTAAGTGTGTCGTTTGTTTTGTTGGCTTTTCCTATCACTGTTTGCAGTGTGGCCAAGGGAGAGAACTCTGACTAAGTCGTCCAAGGCTTTTTATTCTTCGTCCGGATTTGACAGGAGAGCCGGAAAATGTAATGCTACTGCATCTATACAGCTCAATTACAATCCTGAAGGTTTGATAAGATTATTTTTATTATTATTTATATTATTTATATGAAAATCAACACAAACAGGCCTAAATGTGACAAAGGTTGAAAATAAGTCAATGAAACATATGACATATGTTCACATTAATGTCCAACAATTCATTCTTAAACAGAACATGTAATCATGTATAGGTCGTGGATAATACAATAATTTGCACATATTAAATAAATTCATAGTTGTGAAGTTGTAAACCAAAGCAATTCAATTCAATACAATATATTACCACCCCCCCCCCCCCACATGCCCCCCCCCCCAAAAAAAAAAATCAAAACAATACACATTCTATTAGTGAGTATACCACGGCATAAATATTATTGTTATAAAGACAAGGCAGTAGTAACAACCGACTGAATGAATCCTAACTAGAAATAGTCAAATACACATCACACCGCTAAACACAATAATCATGTATGAATCTAAAAGTGCAATTTTACAAACTATAATCAACCTGCAAGCTGATGTCGGGAGAGTAGAGAGGGGGGGAAAAAAAAAATCAGGAGGTCTCTAGCCGTCGCCAGCTTGTCTTTGGGTTTCTCGTCTGCTCATTATCAGGGCTGCCTAAGTTGGCACATTCGTACAAATTTGGTACCATTCGACCTCTGCCGAGAAAAATTACTTTTGGGACTGCACCCGGTGTTTTTTGTACGTTTTAGAAATGTTGCATCATTTGGTTACAATTTCGAGCTTTCATGCGGGACACCCGGATTCAACTCCCGGTGATGCGATGTGAGTTTTTCTGAGGGGGCAACTTTAAACATCCTAACCTGCACAGTACGTAAAGACAGCACTAGGCATGTGGCCCTACATACTCAGGCTCACAACCCCCTGTCTACACGGCCCTAAAAACGTGGTAAAACAGAGAGCAGTGACAGTTAAACAATAAAATAGTGAACAAATTCATAAAGCATGGAGGGAACAGACAGTGCTAGATAAACCATCAATACTGAAAACAAAAAGACAAGAAATTTTTCATGCAAGTGAAAATCGCTTTCCATTAGTACCACAGTTTCTGTTGTCTTTTAGCATAACCTCATTCTCTTGCAGATGTAGAAAGAGTTTTCTTTCTGCTTAGCAATCTTCAACAATAAATGTTTTGTCCAGATAAAAGTTATTGTTCCAGAACATTAACTGCATCCAATGGAAGCTGTCTCGACAGCTTTATAACGAAATCATCAAGAAAATGGCAAGGGACAACGAATTTAGTTGTGATAAAATTATAAAGTAAGCCAGTCCATATTTATGTGTGTATATTTGTGTGTTTTAAAAGACGTTTTAATTGGTTATAATTGAAAATGTGATACCTTTTTGTGTTTTGTTACCTTCAAAAAATTATGGTACTATTCTCAAAATAATTTAAACAGCCCTGCTAATTACTGCTCAACATCAGTCACCCAAGTGCGCATGCGTCAGGTGGGATAACTCCAGCGAGTCACGGTTAAGTTCATCATCATCATCCCGTAACTGCGTGCCGTTGTGTCACTTTGATCAGTTGACTAGCTCCCTCCACCTTTGACGGACAGATGCGATGGACCTCATGGTTTCAAGCCTAAGGCCTGTCTAGTCAGTCAAGTTCTGTATAAAAGTCTTTTGTTGTCTGTCTCTTCGGCTTTTCCGAAATAAAGTTCCTTTCTCCGTTCGTTCCCCTCGACAGCCATGTAAAGCAAGCTTTTCTTTTCCACGTTTTCAGTTGAACATTTTGTACTAGACCTATATTTTATAGACCAGTGGGTGATGTGGTCCGGCTGCCTTTTCTTCCCATGATGTTGCAAGGAAATATTTTAAGGCTTGGGAGCCCAAAAACCGTTAAAAAACAAAAACAAAAACAAAAAATTCTGGCTCCGTGAGTACATTGTGATTCGTAGGTGAGCGTCTAGCTGCTACACCCTGGTGGCTTCCTGATGCCATCTAGTAAGTAGTAAGTTATAACTTCTTCTTCTTCTTTTCCGTTTTACAGATCTGGTTGTATGCAGGCTGTCGGTTTCTTGCTATCCTGACAATGCACCTCGACTTAGAGGGAGACTACTGTCATTAGTCGCCTTTTAGTACATGCTTGTGGGAGCTAAGTGGTCTCGAAGTATGGCATCCGCCTAGAGTGCTGGAGCTGGGCAGTTCAAGCCCCAGTGAATGCTGGGATTTTTCCACGTGGATTTCTAGTAATTTCCCCTGGTCTCTGTGTAGTGAGATTGGACTCCTATGTGTATTGTTACGCACGTAAAAATTCCCTTGGCAGTTTGCAATCGAAAAATAGTAACCTAACGAACTCTGCGCTGGCTGCTGAAGACGAGGACAGAGCATGCATGGGAATGCCCTGAGTGCTGTGATGTCAATTCTTGACTCAACTCAACCCAGTAACCTAACGGCGCTGCCATAGCAAAATTTGGAGTTAAAAATCAACCCAAAAGTATTTTAAGACCCTCGCCGGTGCAACGGAGTTTGTGTACTGCGAGGAGATTTTTCAGACCCACTCTTGAGTTAGAAGTAGAACGGAGGACTTATGAGTTACTACCCTTGTGCCAATATGCTGATCAGTTTAGTAAAAAAAAAAAAAAAAGGACAGATCCATTTTTCACGCCTTTAGGCGTATAGGGCATATAGGGCTTGACCTATATTTTTATAGACCAATCGGCACAAGAAAGGTGATGTTGAAGTAAAGATCCCTTTTCACGCCTTATCTGATCCGTCTACTAAACTAAAACTATATACATGCTTGTTAGGTTGGTGAATTATCAACCCCCCCCCCCCTTCTTTTTTTTATTTCGGGTGCCCCAAATGGAGCCCTCGAACAAGTAAGGGAAATGTATACAAGTATACTATATCGTGTTCAACCCAATCGAGCTATAATTGAGATGTATAGTTTTTTTTTTTTTTTTTTTTTATAGATATGGGATGTGTATGTTTGTTAATGGAAGAATGGGCCTCAGTTTGAATAACGGGAAGACAGAAATAATGGTGGTATCAAAGAAACGAATTATTCTTAAGTGTGTAATAAAAGTTGATGGTGTTATTTTAGGACAAGTTCAGAAATTTAAGTATCTGGGCACATGGATAACATCAGATGGAAGCTGCATAACTGAGATAAGAAACAGAATAGGACAGGCAAAAACTGCATTTTATAAAATGAAAAACATCTTGTGCAATATATCCTTGTCATTGAGTGTTAGAAAAAGAATTCTTGCTTGCTACATACATCCTGTTTTAACATATGGCTGTGAATCCTGGACAATCGGTAGGCAGGCCAAACAATTTCTGGAGGCCTCAGAGATGTGGTTTTACAGAAGAATGATTAGAATACATTGGACAGCCAAAAAGAGCAACCAAGAGGTTTTGAAAGAGGCGAGAGCCCGAAGACAACTTATCACAGACATCAGAAAGAGACAGTTATAATTTTTCGGCCATGTTATGAGAAGAGGGAAAATAGAACATGTTGTGACCACTGGAAAGATCTGTGGAAGGAGGGATAGAGGAAGACAACGAGAGAAGATGCTTGACAGTCTTGTTTCATGGCATGGAGGTGTGTCGGCACACGAACTGATACATGCTGCAGCGGATCGCAGATTATGGAGAGGAATGATCGCCCACGCCAGTCGGCCAGGCACCTGATAATGATGATGTTGTTTGTTAATTAATGCTGCCGGTGGGCATATTTAAGCCAGTGCTTGTGTATGTATGCTGAGTATATGTATGCGCTATTCTTTGTATGTAAAAAATTTAGAGCACATTAAAGGTCTTCTTCTTCCTCTTCGCGTTCACCAGCTTTAAACTTAAAGGAAAGTTCCGGCTGTTCATCCACTTCTGGACTGCAGTCGTGTTCCAAAACCTGAGTGTTGCGTGTGCATCCGTTTTACAGATCTGACTCATTTGTATGCAGACTGAAGGTTCCCTGGCCTCTCAGGCAAATGCACTCAGACTTCGAAGGAAACTCCAAATTAGTCGACTCCTACGACATGCTTTTGGGTAGTCAGTGGATCTATTCTTCCCCCCCCCCCCCACCCCTCATATAATTGGGCCCCGGAACTCACACGGGAAACATTAAAAGTAAAAACCATAACGGGAGGAAATGAATCAGTTCAAAATGACTGCACGCGCTTACAAAAAATATAAACAAAGAGTAGATAATGTTATTAAATGCCAGAGTTGTACACTAAAATCAATGAATGTAATCCACGCCTTGTATCGTCTAGACATCCTTATCTTTCGATACATCGTCACAGTTCTCAACAAGCTCTAACAAATTATCATTGCACCCCCCGCAGCCTGTTTATTGATCCCCGCTGCGCCAGCAACTGTGGAGGTCAGTTTTTTGAAGATACTCAGATTTACAGTTGGTTGACGATGCCTGGCAACAACTTTGGTTCAAAATGCCTGGCAACATCTTTGGTTCAAGTTGCCTGGCAACATATTTGGTTTAAGCTGCCTGGCAACATCTTTGGTTCAAAATGCCTGACATCTTTCGTTCAAGATGCATGGTAACATCTTCGGTTAAAAATGCCTGGCAACATCTTTGTTTAAAATTACCTGACAACATCTTTGGTTCCAGATACCTGGCAACATCTTTGGTTCAAAATGGGTGGCAACATCTTTGGTTCAAGATGCATGGCAACATATTTTATTTAAACTGTCTGGCAACATCTTTGGTTCAAAATGCCTGGCAACATCTTTGGCTCAAAATACCTGACAACATCTTTGGTTCCAGATACCTGGCAACATCTTTGGTTCAAAATGCCTTTCAACATCTTTGGTTCAAGATGTATGGCAACATATTTTGTTTAAACTGTCTGGCAACATCTTTGGTTCAAAATGCCTGGCAACATCTTTGGCTTAAAATACCTGACAACATCTTTGGTTCCAGATACCTGGCAACATCTTTGGTTCAAAATGCCTTTCAACATCTTTGGTTCAAGATGTATGGCAACATATTTTGTTTAAACTGCCTGGCAACATCTTTGGTTCAAAATGCCTGGCAACATCTCTGGTTCAAAATACCTGACAACATCTTTGGTTTCAGATACCTGGCAACATCTTTGGTTCAAAATACACGGCAACATCATTGGTTTAACATGCCTGTTAACAATTCTGTTGCAAAGATATGTTGCAGCTAGTGAATCTTATACCTTTAGATCACTGGTCTCCAGCATGGGGGGGGGGGGTGTGCCCCCCCCCCCAGTCTTGCTACCGAGTGGTTCGATGAGATCCAGGGTGTGGCGGGGGGGGGGGGGTGTGACAGCAGTACTGAAAGGGAGTGCATTTGTATTTGTAATAACCCGTAATAATCCGTAATAAGACGTAATAACCTGTATTAATCCGTAATAACCCGTAATAATCCGTAATATATATATATATATATATATATATTTATATATATATATATATATATATATACATACATACATACATACATACATACATACATACATACATACATACATACATACATACATACATACATACATACATACATACATACATACATACATACATACATACATACATACATACATACATACATACATACATACATACATACATACATACATACATACATACATACATACATACATACATACATACATACATACATACATATATTAGTTTCATTGTAAATTACTACAATGTTTCTAAAAACTATGAAAACTATTTATAAAACAAAAAGCCAAACACATTTTTTGTTTTCATAAGCAATTTGTATATACATTCCCTGAAGCCTTGCATATATTCAAGGAGCGAAGGGGTCTTGCAGTATACTCTAAAGGGAAAAAAGTGGGGGGGGGGGGGGTGGCGAATTGAAACAAGAAGGAGACCACGGCTTTAGAGTATTTTAGAATCACAAGTTAAGCCTTCCGCTGGATTAAGAATCAGCTCTACACACATGTCGTAATTGTAACTGACTCACAAAGCATGTTGAGAAAGGTGGAGACAGGCATGCTCCGTGCAGAGTGGCAAGCATAGCTGTCCCGGATAATCAGCGTCCTTTGGACATTATCTCCAGGTGATACCGATTTCGTTGGGAAACGAGCAGGCAGATAGGCTAGTCGGTTTTGCATCATTTGTTAGTTAATTGATGTATGTCAAGCTAAATGCTGCGAGGGCTTTTTGGGAACGAGTGAACAGTGTGAACGCACAAATATATCATTACGGTCTGAGGAGAATGGCGCTGCGAGGAGGTAACAGGGGATCAGGCCGACGCTTAACACTCAAGGGAAAGGCGAGACGGATATACAGTCACAACTAATGGTGCCATCGGAATTGGAATTTTTCGCTTGCTGCAGAAGATGGGGACGGAGCGTTTATGGGGAGTGTCCTGAGTGCTATGATGACAATTCCTAATTCTACATTCAACTGTCCTCTGTTATCGTATTCACCTCTTCAGTCCTGTTCCCTGTGGGTTCCAGGGCCTCATAGTAAGAAGAAAAAGTTGAAAAAATACTAACCCCCCCCCCCCCCCCCCTCCCTCCACCTCCCAACACGTAAGTCGTTGGAGTCGACTAACTAGATGTGTCCTTTGAAGTCGGAGTGCGCATGATAAGGAACCAGCAGTCTGCATACTGATGCGCCAGATCTGTGCACGCAAACTCAAGTTCCAGAACAAGACCAAAGTCCAGAAGTGGACGAACAACCAGAAATTCAGCCCCAGCTTACAGCCGGTAAACGCAAAGAAGAAGAACAAGAGCTACAGAAAATCAACAGATAATTGCTCAAATGAGAACTGAATTTTCTGTTTTTCTTCTGTAGATGTGCGGTGTACAATTTTCTTCTCTCTTTTCTGTCTGAGAAAGATGACTGATGACAATGTTACCGTCATGATTGCCGTGTCCGAATGTGATGACAAGAAGTACCCTATCTATAGGCAGAATGTATCCTTTCATACTTTAACGAACATTTCGCAGTGTTCTGAAACATAACCGCCACTGTTATTCGTGGCATTTTCAGGCATTTGAGCAGACATTTTGTAGTGCCCCCGTTCCGTCTCGTATTCCCACAGTGACCTCTCACCGTAGTCTTGAGGTCTCTTCTGATGCTTGTGGAGGTGATATGGCACCATCAGAAGCTTCAAGATCTAGGAGGGGAGACAATTTATTAAGTCTAGTTACACAAGGGCATACGCGGTAGTCTGTCTTTCAGTCTGTCTGCATTTTCCCCCTCGGTTGCCACCTGAAGGTTGGACCGCCCCAGCGACAAGTCACACCATGCATGGAAATTCAGCAGGGAAAATCTCAGATGCGCTGACGAATGTCATAAGAAATTATAAGGGCACACGTAACGGCTACATGAAGTATTACACTACTGTATATTGATGTCAAAAGAGATGCTATTTAATCATGTTTAAGCTCGCCCCCAAAACGCTAGAATTTTCCGTCGCATTTTACAGCCGGTGAAAGAGAAAGAAGAAGAAAACGCAACTGTTTGTTATTTTAAAGGCCCCCCCCCCCTTTTTTTTCTTCGGTGGTCGTTGGGGCCCTAAAGGAACCTGACAGTTGAACGGGGTTTCTTGGACTTATGCCAGGGGAATTCTCTTCCGAATGGTGGCACTTTGTGTCACTGGGCGTTTGTCGCTTGTTGTGCGGTCTTGGTGCGGCTGAACGTCAATTAGTCAAGAGGTGACCTTGACATAGAGGTTACCGCTATCCTGTCTAGCCATTCCAATTAAAAAGTTTGCAAGTCTCTTGGGAACCAACTTAGCTGACAAATGGGCTGTCTCTTACTTAAGGGCCTCAACGGTCCATACAACTTTGCCTAAAATTTTAGAATTACATGCCTTTCCGTAACCTACCACTCCTATATCTGTGCCGGTGCAGTACCTCCTTCCTGCATCACACTGTCTCTAACAAGCATGTGGCAGGAATCGACTAATTAGTAATTTTAACTTTGAAGTCGGAGTGCATCTGCCTGAGAAGCGAAAAACCAACAGTCTGCTAAATAAGCCGAACCTACAAACGTATGTGCATACAACATCCACGTTCTGGAACAAAGACTAAAGTCCAGAAGTGATTGAACAACCAGAACTTTCTGCCGAAGTTTGCAACTTGTGAACGCCAAAAAGAAAAGTAAAGGAACACACCTCATAAGAAGTACCGTACTTGACAAACTTGAAAGCGGCTACCAGTGGAATGCAGACGACGGAGGTTCCCGCCAGCAACCAGCCAATGGTTATGCCCCAGACCGGGTAGTTATAGACCCGACCATTGGCCCTTCGATAGGACAGATCTGAGTAGTTGATGATACTCATTGCAAACACTACCTGTAGGAGAGGGAAGATAGGGGTAGGGGTCATTATAATCAATATCACCACTAACACCGCAAACACCATCATCATCACTGCAAACAACAATTATAACCATCATTATTATCATCTTCTTTATCATCATCATCATCAGCGCTAAACTAAACTAGATAATGACAATGTGTGTAGAGAACTAATTATACCCATGTATGTGTGTGCAAGGCTAAACTATGTACAGCGGAACTCCAATAATCGTCATGAATCCGCTTCTTAGGGGGGGGGGGGGGGTGGGGGGGGGGAGAGGGGTGGGAGGCCGAATATTAAAATATGACGAAAATGAAAAAAGTTTTTGCCATAGGAATTAACTAAAAATGGTAACATACGTTCCCAGTCCCAAATTTTGCCTGGCTACTCTTTAACTACAACAAAATTTCACTCGAAAATTGATCTCGGAAATCATTGCAAATACATGTTCATTACATATTAACCATTATACTTATTATTGCGTTATCACTGTGGCAGATAGTTACCTGTTCTGATGAAGTGCCCACAATTATACATTAAAAAAAAAATACTGGTGGATTAAAAACAAGAGAGCTATTGTTGGCAAGGGAGATAACCTTCTGTTATGACACCAGGTAATGTCACTTTTGGTGATTAATGCCGTGGCGATTTATTATCTTCATCAGCATTTCCAGACGATCCACTATCTGAGCACATTCTGCAGACCTTCCCACTCTACCTACAACTTCGAAAAGACTCCTGGCCTTAAGAGCTAAGGTGCAGAGCAAGCTTTGGGGAACGATAAAAGACCTGCTACTGACATGCAAGTTCATAGAGGCAACCTACCTGATGGTCTGATCTGAGCATATGAAACCAAACGCAATGAAGAAGAAGAAGAAGAAGAAGAAGAAGAAGAAGAAGAAGAAGAAGAAGAAGAAGAAGAAGAAGAAGAAGAAGAAGAAGAAGAAGAAAGAAGAAGAAGGAAGAAGAAGAAGAAGAAGAAGAAGAAGAGAAGAAGAAGAAGAAGAAGAAGAAGAAGAAGAAGAAGAAGAAGAAGAAGAAGAAGAAGAAGAAGAAGAAGAAGAAAGAAGAAGAAGAAGAAGAAGAAGAAGAAGAAGAAGAAGAAGAAGAAGAAGAAGAAGAGAAGAAGAAGAAGAAGAAGAAGAAGCAAGAAGAAGAAGAAGAAGAAGAAGAAGAAGAAAGAAGAAGAAGAAGAAGAAGAAGAAAGAAGAAGAAGAAGAAGAAGAAGAAGAAGAAGAAGAAGAAGAAGGAAGAAGAAGAAGAAGAAGAAGAAGAAGAAGAAGAAGAAGAAGAAGAAAGAAGAAGAAGAAGAAGAAGAAGAAGAAGAAGAAGAAAGAAGAAGAAGAAGAAGAAGAAGAAGAAGAGAAGAAGAAGAAGAAGAAGAAGAAGAAGAAGAAGAAGAAGAAGAAGAAGAAGAAGAAGAAGAAGAGAAGAAGAAGAAGAAGAAGAAGAAGAAGAAGAAAGAAGAAGAAGAAGAAGAAGAAGAAGAAGAAGAAGAAGAAGAAGAAGAAGAAGAAGAAGAGAAGAAGAAGAAAGAAGAAGAAGAAGAAGAAGAAGAAGAAGAAGAAAGAAGAAGAAGAAGAAGTAAGAAGAAGAAGAAGAAGTAAGAAGAAGAAGAAGAAGAAGAAGAAGAAGAAGAAGAAGAAGAAGAAGTAAGAAGAAGAAGAAGAAGAAGAAGAAGAAGAAGAAGAAGAAGAAGAAGAAGAAGAAGAAGAAGAAGAAGAAGAAGAAGAAGAAGAAGAAGAAGAAGAAGAAGAAGAAGAAGAAGAAGAAGAAGAAGAAGAAGAAGAAGAAGAAGAAGAAGAAGAAGAAAGAGAAGAAGAAGAAGAAGAGAAGAAGAAGAGAAGAAGAAGAAGAAGAAGGAAGAAGAAGAAGAAGAAGAAGAAGAAGAAGAAGAAGAAGAAGAAGAAGAAGAAGAAGAAGAAGAAGAAGAAGAAGAAGAAGAAGAAGAAGAAGAAGAAGAAGAAGAAGAAGAAGAAGATCCCTCAACCCTATCAATGTCGTTTGTTTTGTTCTGTTTGTTTAATGTTCCAAGTGTCCAAAAAACATCGCATCATATGAACTGAAACGATGATTAATAAAAGCGATGTTTATGTGCAATTTTTTAAAATTAAAATTTGCATTTCTGCCCAAATGGACAATCATTTCTTATTTCAGCTCTTGAAACCGGCCCATCGTCTTCTTGTTTTTAAATTTTTTTTTAATTCCGCGTTAGATGACATGTCAGCCGCGTCGAAGGAAGAATAAATATTGACTTTGTGAGCGAATAGCAAACACCAATTTCAACGAAAGTTTAAAAAAAAGGGGGAAAAAAAAAAGGCGAAGATTGGCGCGGACGAATACTCGAGTTCCATTGCATAGGCTTTGCATGAAGAGAAGTAATCATACTCGTGTGTGTATGTAAGTGTGAGCGTATGTCTGTGTGGGTGTATGTGTGGGTGTATGTGTGGGTGTAAGTCTGTATGTGTGGGTGTATGTGTGTGTATATGTCTGTGTGTGTATGTGTGGGTTTCTGTGGGTAGTACTAAACTAGTTATAGACACTGTGTGTAAACAGTTACTTGTACTACTGTATCATCGTTATCATCATCATTATCACCATCATTACCATCATCAACTAAGGGGAGGGAACTTACAACACAGAAAAATGGAGAAATCACGGCCCAACAGACTTGCAGGTATGGGATGGTGTGACTCAACCACGACTCGCCGATCATCATCCTGACGTTATCGGAGAAGCGATGAATACCTGGCAAAGAAGTAGAGAACATTTTTTGCCTGTCATGTAGAGTAAAGTAGCAGAGAACAATTTGTTCTGTCATGTCTAGTAAAGTAGCAGAGAACGGGTTGTTCTAGTATCTCTAGTAAAGTAGCAGAGAACGTTTTGTTCTGTCATAAAGTAGCAGAGAACGGTTTGTTCTATCATGTCTAGTAAAGTAGCAGAGAACGGTTTGTTCTATCATGTCTAGTAAAGGAGCAGAGAACGGTTTGTTCTATCATGTCTAGTAAAGTAGCAGAGAACGAGTAGTTCTATCATGTCTAGTAAAGTAGCAAAAAATTATTTGTTCTGTCATGTCTAGTAAAGGAGCAGAGAACGGTTTGTTCTGTCATGTCTGGTAAAGTAGCAGAGAACAGTTTGTTCTATCATGTCTAGTAAAGTAGCAGAGAACGGTTTGTTCTATCATGCCTAGTAAAGTAGCAGAGAACGGTTTGTTCTGTCATGTCTAGTAAAGTAGCAGAGAACGGTTTGTTCTATCATGTCTAGTAAAGTAGCAGAGAACGGTTTGTTCTATCATGCCTAGTAAAGTAGCAGAGAACGGTTTGTTCTGTCATGTCTAGTAAAGAAGCAGAGAACGGTTTATTCTGTCATGTCTAGTAAAGTAGCAGAGAACGGTTTGTTCTATCGTGCCTAGTAAAGTAGCAGAGAACGGTTTGTTCTATCATGTCTAGTAAAGTAGCAGAGAACGGTTTGTTCTGTCATGTCTAGTAAAGTAGCAGATAACATTTTGTTCTATCATGCCTAGTAAAGTAGCAAAAAATTATTTGTTCTGTCATGTCTAGTAAAGTAGCAGAGAACGGTTTGTTCTATCATGCCTAGTAAAGTAGCAGAGAACGGTTTGTTCTCTCATGTCTAGTAAAGTAGCAGAGAACGGTTTGTTCTGTCATGTCTAGTAAAGAAGCAGAGAACGGTTTGTTCTGTCATGTCTAGTAAAGTAGCAGATAACATTTTGTTCTATCATGTCTAGTAAAGTAGCAGATAACATTTTGTTCTATCATGTCTAGTAAAGTAGCAGAGAACGGTTTGTTCTATCATGTCTAGTAAAGTAGCAGATAACATTTTGTTTTATCATGTCTAGTAAAGTAGCAGAGAACGGTTTGTTCTGTCATGTCTAGTAAAGAAGCAGAGAACGGTTTGTTCTGTCATGTCTAGTAAAGTAGCAGATAACATTTTGTTCTGTCATGTCTAGTAAAGGAGCAGAGAACGGTTAGTTCTATCATGTCTAGTAAAGTAGCAGATAACATTTTGTTCTATCATGTCTAGTAAAGTAGCAGAGAACGGTTTGTTCTGTCATGTCTAGTAAAGAAGCAGAGAACGGTTTGTTCTATCATGTCTAGTAAAGTAGCAGAGGACGGTTTGTTCTATCATGTCTAGTAAAGTAGCAGATAACATTTTGTTCTATCATGTCTAGTAAAGAAGCAGAGAACGGTTTGTTCTGTCATGTCTAGTACAGTAGCAGAGAACGGTTTGTTCTATCATGTCTAGTAAAGTAGCAGATAACATTTTGTTCTATCATGTCTAGTAAAGTAGCAGAAAACAATTTGTTCTATCATGTCTAGTAAAGTAGCAGAGAACGGTTTGCTCTGTCATGTCTAGTAAAGTAGCAGAAAACGGTTTGTTCTATCATGTCTAGTAAAGTGCCAGAGAACATTTTGTTCTGACATGTCTAGTAAAGTAGCAGAGAACGATTTGTTCTATTATGTCTAGTAAAGTAGAAGAGAACAGTTTGTTCTAACCTGTCTACTAAAGTAGCACATAACGATTTGTTCTATACAGTATATCAAAGTAGCAGAAAACAGTTTGTTCTGTCATGTCTAGTAAAGTGGCAAATAACAATTTGTTCTATCATGTCTAGTAAAGTACTAAAGAAGGGTTTCTTTTATTATGTCTAGCAAAGTAGCAGAGAACGGTTTGTTCTAACCACGCAGGTGCAATACACAGAGCGGAGATAGAGAGATTGGCTCACTGAATTGACTGAGGTACTTTACATTCTTCAGTAGGTAATTTGAGCTATATTTTTTTTATAGTAATGATAGATCTAGACATAAATGTTTGATATCGCTTGGAAATATTCGAATTGTATGTAGCTAGAATCGAAGTATCACTTTTGCTGGATGAAGTGCTTAGCACACGTGTGTGTGGACATGAAGTTGGTTTTTAGTGTACTGTTATTTGTGAAGCGTTAGCTCTGTGTTCAGCAAAACAAAGACATGCTCAATGTGACGATTATAATTTAATTGCTTGATTCAAGTTAGAATTTGTAGTCCGTGTGCGTTGTTTGTCTAGGTGTATGTAGTCGTATTTTATTGTAGTCGTTTAACACAATTATTAACATATTCTTAGCCAGGGTTTTGATGAAACATTTCATGACCCCTGCACAAGAGATCTCTTGTCTTTTCTATACTTTTCCTGTTTTTGTTTCTTTTCTGTTTAGCTGGAAACTACTTATTGTCTTTACCACATTTTCTGTTTCCTGATCCCGCCTACTTCTATGTTTTTCCCCTCTTCCATCTAGCACTTTATCGCCTAGTGCTACACTTCCCATACCTCTATAGCACAGTGGAGGAATAGTACCGTCTGGAAAGGTGCTAGAACAACTCACCGTAGACATGGGCAATGGCCACCAGTTCACACAATGCCACCAGAAGTATGATTCGGCTCCCGGAGTAGTAGTCAAACAGTTGAAACACATACATGCCTCCCTGTAGACACAGTAACAACATCGTCATCAGTGTAAGGTGACACATTTTCGTTATTCAGTGATTTACAGTTGTGTCACCTAAATGGAAGGTTACGAAAATTGAATCAGTGGTTACAAGTTTGTCACATGATTGGACGGTCTACACATTCTTTTTATCCACTGGGCAGCCTTTTTTCACATTACGAGGGCCTATGAATAATTTAGCCAGTGGCTACCGTTGTGTCAAATGAGCTGAGTTTGTAAGAGTGATTTGACCAATAGCTATAATTGTGTCACATGACTGGAGAGTATACATAGTCTTTTCATCCAATAGTTAGAGCTACAATGCATCTCACACGAATGAAAGGAAGGGGCTATGCAAAATTTGTAAAATATTTCGGCCGCTTTGAAAGACAACGCTTTTAAAAACATCCTAGAAGGGACAATTTGAGCGCTAGAGAGCAATATGTAGCCAACGATACAAGCAGGATAATATTATATGTGTGTGTGTGTGTTGTCCATCAAGATGATGATGACCACTCTGTTTCATCAAGTATGAGTACGAAGATGATTGATGAGGCCGATGCGGGCCTGAAAAGTTCTTGGACAGTGAGGACCGGGAATGAGCGTTGTGCCAGGGAGGGGATCTCCTGCAGTCGACTTTCTGTCCATTCTTTTCTTAATAAGTCGTGCTGTTCTGTTTGCTTCACATGTAGCAGCGCCCTTGTCTAGAGTTGCACGCCAAGCATTTCGGTCATGAGAGGCAGCCTCCCAATTGGTGTCATTCATCCCAAATGCTTTGAGTGAAGACTTCAAGGTGTCCTTAAAGCCTTTCTTTTGCCCGCATTGGGAACGTTTCCCATTTTCCCAAAGATTTTTTGGGAGCCTGTGATCTGGCATGCGTGCCACATGACCAGCCCAACGAATTTGGTACTGCATCAGTAGAGTGTGGATGCTGGGCATGGCTGCTTCACTAAGAACTACGGTATCAGGTACTTTGTGCTGCCATCCGATATGCGTTAGTTTTCCAAGGCAAACTGTGTGAAAGTGGTTTAACTTTCTAGCCTGGCTCTGGTATACAATCCATGTTTCGCATGCTTACAGCAGTGTATTAAATCAAACTGCTGTGTATACTTTAAACTTTGTCTGCAGGGCTATGCCACTTCTGTTCCAAACATTTTTGTAAATCTGCCAAAGGCATCGCTAGCCCTCGAGATCCATGCATTTACTTCGTATCAGTTGTAAAAGGGTGTTGCCTAGATAAGTAAATTTACTGAAAACGTTTAATCTGTGGATAATATTAAGAGGGGGAAGAACAGCAGTCTGAGAAAGTGTGCAATCAAGTCAAGAGACATAGCATGTTGGGATTATATTGCAGCCAACCATCATTGTGAAGATGGCACCTGCTGCTTAAAATAAATATGAGATAATAATGAGACTATAGGAAACAAAGAAATAAACGGAGGTGGGGGGGGGGGGGTGGGGTGGGGGTGGGCGTTCTCCGCGACGAAGTAGTCATCACATAGTGAAGGTCGTTGGTCGTTTCACGGCTGCGTCTTACTATGAGTGACATTTTTTTAAACGGAGATCGTCGCCTGAGCTGCGGTATTCGTGCTTTGTACTATGCTCTTAGCAGATAGCTAAGGGTTCTGTGAAAAGAGACCGAGCTACGTGGGGTAAAACTTGGTTAAATGAAGTCGATCCTCTCGACTGTAACTTGAATATATTACAGACCACGTCAAAACAAGAATGGCTAACCTAACAGAATGTCTCACCTAGCAGAAATGACTCACCTAGCAGGAATGACTTACATGGCAGGAATGACGCACCTGGCAGGAATGACGCACCTGGCAGGAATGCCTCACCTAGCAGGAATGACTCCCCTGGCAGGAATGACTCAACTGACAGGAATGATTCACCTTACAGGAATGACTCTCCTGGCAGGAATGATTCACCTTACAGGAATGACTCTCCTGGCAGGAATGACTCACCTGACAAGAATGATTCACCTTACAGGAATGACTCTCCTGGCAAGAATGATTCACCTGACAAGAATGATTCACCTTACAGGAATGACTCTCCTGGCAAGAATGATTCACCTGACAAGAATGATTCACCTTACAGGAATGACTCACCTGACAAGAATGATTCACCTTACAGGAATGACTCTCCTGGCAGGAATGATTCACCTTACAGGAATGACTCTCCTGGCAAGAATGATTCACCTGACAAGAATGATTCACCTTACAGGAATGACTCTCCTGGCAGGAATGATTCACCTGACAAGAATGATTCACCTGACAAGAATGATTCACCTTACAGGAATGACTCTCCTGGCAAGAATGATTCACCTGGCAGGAATGATTCACCTTACAGGAATGACTCTCCTGGCAGGAATGATTCACCTGACAGGAATGATTCACCTTACAGGAATGACTCTCCTGGCAGGAATGATTCACCTGGCAGGAATGACTCACCTGGCAGGAATGACTCACTTTACAGGAATGACTCTCCTGACAAGAATGATTCACCTTACAGGAATGACTCTCCTGGCAGGAATGATTCACTTTACAGAAATGACTCACCTGGCAGGAATGACTCACCTGGTAGGAATGATTCACCCGGTAGGAATGACTCACCTGTTAGGAATGACCCACCTGGTAGGAATGACTCACCTGGTAGGAATGACTCACCTGGTAGGAATGACTCACCTGGTAGGAATGACTCACCTGGTAGGAATGACTCACCTGGTAGGAATGACTCACCTGGTAGGAATGACTCACCTGTTAGGAATGACCCACCTGGTAGGAATGACTCACCTGGTAGGAATGACTCACCTGGCAGACCATCAAAAGGCCGATCAGAAACATGACGATGCAGCAGACGACTGTAAATCCCAATTTTCTGTACCTTTTTCTTAGGATGAGGGGATACTGGTCAACGACTGTGGCGATGACACCTTCCACGCCCACAAACTGGAGACAACATGCGACCCCAAGTTTATCAGTCGTGTCTGATTGGTTCAGTCAGTCTGACATGCTGTCGTGTTTGATTGGCTCTGTCGTCATGGTAATTTATAATGATTGGCTGGTTTTAACCATTACTGTAGGCGACCGTGTTTAATTAGCTACATCTTGTGGAACCATGTCATTTTTTGATTGGCTCAATCAATTTCATATAGTGGTGGTCTTTTACTGATAACATGACATGACAATTTGTGATACTATTTAAATAAAATTTATGTGGTTGGCGGCCAAGTTATATCAACCAGTCAGTTGGCTAGCGATATCTTTACAAGTAATCTAATATTAATGATTTACATGGCATTTTTATTTAACAATTCCTGTGCAAATTTCGTGGTCCTAGGGGGGAACAGAAGAATATGCAGTTCTGGCATAACCTTCATCTTTGTGGCAGGTCATGCGGGTTTTCAAGGCAACGAGCATGCAAACTATCGTGCTGACACTGCGGTTGCTACGGCTGGCCTAGCACTGGACAGAAGTGATGTTATCAATGCTATGCGCTGCACTTACCGTACCGAGGAGCACGCCAAAGCACATGACTCCGTTTCCCTGTCTAGACTGATGGACATGGGGGTGCAGCCTGGAGCTTCAAGAAATGAACATTTCACTAAGGGGACAAGACGTTTCATTAACTAACACAGAACAGGCGTCGTTAGTCGTTTTACACTTGTGGAGCTTTTGAGGAGGAGATCGGAGCACCTGTGGATCTGTCCGGAGTGCTTATGCTGGGCTATCACTAAAGTGGGTAGGTGTTTTGCTGAAAAAACAAATCGTCACGTTCAACCAACATCCGCGAAGGGGTTGCGTTAGGTTATAATTGTGACTAGGTAAATTTGGCTTAGCATTGCACGCCACTAAAAGCTTCGAAAAGGACTCCTGCAGTGTTGAAGGGATCAGAGAAGACGGGTTCAATGCTGTCCCGACCAGCGACGAAATCGTCTACAGGCGAGCTGATGGGTGACCTGCTCGCCGAGAAAGCACCACTTATTAACTAACTAGGTGAGCGATCTTAACCTTGTGGACCTCACTGCGGTGGCATCTGGTGTCATTTGTGTCACTGACACTTACCTGACTGTCAAGTCCAATGAGGATGATCATTAAGAAGAAAAACAGGGACCATACCGAGGCAACCGGCATTTGGGCCACAGCTTTCGGGTAGGCAATGAATGCTAGTCCTGGACCTGTGACAATGGCATCAGTGGCAACAGTGAAACAGTGGCATCAGTGGCAACAGTGAAACAGTGGCAACAGTGAAACAGTGGCAACAGTGGCAACAGTGAAACAGTGGCATCAGTGAAACAGTGGCAACAGTGAAACAGTGGCAACAGTGAAACAGTGGCAACAGTGAAACAGTGGCAACAGTGAAACAGTGGCAACAGTGAAACAGTGGCATCAGTGGCAACAGTGAATCAGTGGCAACAGTGAAACAGTGGCAACAGTGAAACAGTGGCAACAGTGGCAACAGTGAAACAGTGGCAACAGTGAAACAGTGGCAACAGTGGCAACAGTGAAACAGTGGCAACAGTGAAACAGTGGCATCAGTGGCAACAGTGAATCAGTGGCAACAGTGAAACAGTGGCAACAGTGAAACAGTGGCAACAGTGAAACAGTGGCAACAGTGAAACAGTGGCAACAGTGGAACAGTGGCAACAGTGAAACAGTAAAACACTATACACGTGGACACGTTACAATGGAGTAAATTGTTATCACGTAAAATAATCTGCCTACTTAGAGAGAATGGGAGTCGCCGTGACGTAGCGGCTAGACGCTCGCGTGCGGTTCGGAAGGTCTTGGGTTCGCTCCCTGGTAGAGGCGGACTTTCTTTAAAAATGACCTTGACTCCCAGGTCGATCCAGCCTTGAGTTGGTGCCGGGTGCATTCCAAGAAAGTAAAGGCGGCCGGCGTGATGCTGACCACATCACCCATCTTGTGCCGATTGGTCAATAATAAAATATAGCTCTAGCCCTATATGCCTTATACGCCTAAAGGCGTAGAGAAAGGACCTTTATTTTTTATTTCACTTAGGGAGAATACCTTGTGAATCCATATCACACAAACCGTGCATCAGAAGAAAGGAGAGATGGTCAGAACAGTAAGAAGCAGAAACGTATATCCTCTACACCTGAAGCAGTAGAAGAGGAAGTGAAGAGGAAGAGAAGAAGAAACATTGTACGGACATGGTCTAGTTGCGAAATTGAAAGCTTATGTACACACATACAAGCCGACAGGTAACAACTGAATAGTTTATACATTATGTACACACATACAAACCGTCAGGTAACAATGGAATAGGTCAGACATTATGTACACACATACAATCCGACAGGCAACAATAGAATAGGTCAGACATTGTGTACAAACATACCAGCCGACATGCAACAATAGAATAGGTCAGACATTGTGTACACACATACTAGCCAACATGCAACAATAGATAGGTCAGACATTATGTACACACATACAAACAAAGTTAGACAACAAGTGGGAAGGTATACTGTTAATGGCAGCTGGAGATAAAAACAACTTCTGATGCTGAGATTCTTCTTCCTTTTTCTACAGTTCGTGGCGTGTGGCTTTGGTAATTACGCATCCACACTATTCTTTCTATTTTACTTTTGGTCATTTGTGGCACATACGATCTTCCATACCGCGATGCCAAACTGGTCAATATTTTCTCTAAACAGGTTATCAATAGTAGTCAATACAGAGCGTAACGTCTTTGCTTTATTGTTTCTATTTCTTTTGTTCATCCATTGTACCTCTTTCTGTCTACCTTACATCGAGGGAAAAAAAAAGGAATACGGCAAGAACACCACTGGCGATAACAAGGATCAGAGCAAGAAAACCACACGTAATAACAAGGATCAGAACAAGAACACCACTAGCGATAACAAGGATCAGAGCAAGAAAACCACATGTAATAACAAGGATCAGAGCAAGAAAACCACATGTGATAACAAGGATAAGAGCAAGAAAACCACATGTGATAACAAGGATCAGAGCAAGAAAACCACATGTGATAACAAGGATCAGAACAAGAACACCACATGTGATAACAAGGATCAGAACAAGAACACCACATGTGATAACAAGGATCAGAACAAGAACACCACATGTGATAACAAGGATCAGAGCAAGAACACCACATGTGATAACAAGGATCAGAGCAAGAAAACCACATGTGATAACAAGGATCAGAGCAAGAACATCACATGTGATAACAAGGATTAGAGCAAGAACATCACATGTAATAACAAGGATTACAGCAAGAACATCACATGTAATAACAAGGATTAGAGCAAGAACATCACATGTAATAACAAGGATTAGAGCAAGAACATCACATGTAATAACAAGGATCAGAGCAAGAACACCACATGTGATAACAAGAATCAGAGCAAGAAAACCACATGTGATAACAAGGATCAGAGCAAGAACACCACATGTGATAACAAGGATCAGAGCAAGAACACCACATGTGATAACAAGGATCAGAGCAAGAAAACCACATGTGATAACAAGGATCAGAACAAGAACACCACATGTGATAACAAGGATCAGTGCAAGAATATCACAGGTTAAAGCACAGATGACAGTGTGCACACCACATGTGATAACAAGGATCAGAACAAGAACACCACACGTAATACAAGGATCAGAGCAAGAACACCACATGTGATAACAAGGATCAGAGCAAGAACACCACATGTGATAACAAGGATCAGAGCAAGAATACCACCACATTCAGGAGGCAAGATACACCACATGTGACAACAAGGATCAGAGCAAGAATACCACATAGGATAACAAGGATCAGAGCAAGAATACCACAAGGGATAACAAGGATCAGAGCAAGAATACCACAAGGGATAACAAGGATCAGAGCAAGAATACCACATAGGATAACAAGGATCAGAGCAAGAATACCACAAGGGATAACAAGGATCAGAGCAAGAACACCACATGTGATAACAAGGATCAGAGCAAGAATACCACATAGGATAACAAGGATCAGAGCAAGAATACCACAAGGGATAACAAGGATCAGAGCAAGAATACCACAAGGGATAACAAGGATCAGAGCAAGAATACCACCACAAGGATCAGGATACCAAGGATACCCAGAGCAAGAATACCACATAGGATAACAAGGATCAGAGCAAAGAACACCACATAGGATAACAAGGATCAGAGCAAGAAAGAATACCACAATGGGGGAGCCAAGAAACCAAGGATCAGAGCAAGAACACCACATGTGATAACAAGGATCAGAGCAAGAACACCACAAGGGATAACAAGGATCAGAGCAAGAATACCACATAGGATAACAAGGATCAGAGCAAGAATACCACATAGGATAACAAGGATCAGAGCAAGAATACCACAAGGGATAACAAGGATCAGAGCAAGACCAAGGATACCAAGAATACCACAAGGATAACAAGGATCAGAGCAAGAAACAAGGATCAGAGAGCAAGAATACCACAAGGGATAACAAGGATCAGAGCAAGAATACCAATGGATAACAAGGGACAGGTCAAGCAAGAAAACCACAAGGATCAGAGCAAGAATACCACAAGGGATAACAAGGATCAGAGCAAGAATACCACATAGGATAACAAGGATCAGAGCAAGAATACCACATGTGGATAACAAGGATCAGAGCAAGAACACCACATGTGATAACAAGGATCAGAGCAAGAACACCACATGTGATAACAAGGATCAGAGCAAGAACACCACATGTGATAACAAGGATCAGAGCAAGAACACCACATGGGATAACAAGGATCAGAGCAAGAACACCACATGTGATAACAAGGATCAGAGCAAGAACACCACATGTGATAACAAGGATCAGAGCAAGAACACCACATGTGATAACAAGGATCAGAGCAAGAACACCACATTGGATAACAAAGATCAGAGCAAGAACACCACATGTGATAACAAGGATCAGAGCAAGAACACCACATGTGATAACAAGGATCAGAGCAAGAACACCACATGTGATAACAAGGATCAGAGCAAGAACACCACATTGAATAACAAAGATCAGAGCAAGAATATAACATGTGATATTAAGGATTGCAGCAAGGACACTACATGTGATAACAAGGATCAGAGCAAGAACACCACATGTGATAACAAGGATCAGAGCAAGAATATCACATGTGAAAACAAAGATAACAGATCGAACACCACATCTGATAACAAGGGTAAAAGCAGGAACACCACAAGTGATAACCACTATAAGAACAAAAACACCGCATGCGATTGCAAAGATAACAGTAAGAATGGCACGGAAGATAACTCGGGTTACAAGACGAGATAAGTGAGAAGTACCAACCAGATTCAGCCACTTCAGCAATAGATCGTCGCTGTTGCTTGGCCATGAACCCCAGGCACGTGAACACAATCAGGCCTGCCAGCAAGGATGTGCCTGAGTTCACAGCGGAGAAGATCACAGAGTCCCTGGCAACGGAAGAAAACTCTTTCAAGTTGGGTCTTGGAAGAATGTACTTGTCTTCAATGCGGAAAGGTTAAACTGTATCTGATTTTATGCTGTAGCTTCCTGCATTGTACTTGTCTTCAATGAGTAAATGTTAATTTTTTTCTGATTTCATAATGTGGTTTCTTTGATTGTACTTGTCTTCAATAAGAGAATGTTAATTTTTTGTCTGCTTTCGTGTTGTGGCTTCCTTGTTTGTACTTGTCTTCAATAGGAGAATGTTAACTTTTGTCTGCTTTCGTGTTGTGGCTTCCTTGTTTCTACTTGTCTTAAGTAGGAGAATGTTAACTTTTGTCTACTTTCGTGTACTTGATTGTACTTGTCTTCAGTAGGAAAATGTTAACTAAATTGGGTAATGTTAATTGTTGTTTCCTTTCATGTTGTGGCTTCCTAAATTGTACTGTCTACAATAGAAGAATGCTAACTAAATGGGAGAGTGTTGTCTGCTTTCAGGTTGTGTACTCATAGATTGTACTTGTCTTCAATTAAAAAATGTTTATGTATATTTTCTTTCATGTTGTTTTCAAAGAGTGGACTAGTCTTCAGTGGAAGAATATTATCTTTTGTTTGCTTTCTGAGTGTTTTCAAAGATTTTACTTGTCTTCAGTTGGAAAATGTTACTGTTTGCATACTTTTTTTTTTCATGTTGCATCTTCATGAACTGAACTTGTCTTAAATGGGAAAATGGTAACTTTTTTTGCTTTCATGTTGTTTTCACAGAGTAGACCTGTCTTGAATGTCAGATTGTTTTGTTTTTCTGCTTGCGGGTTATGTCTTCAAGGACTGTAATAGTTTCCATTGTGACGTGACACTGTTAATTTATGCCTTTTCTCCTGACATTGTATGATAATGTTGTAATATGAGATGACATTGTTTTATTATGACATGAAATTGTTGTAATATGAGATAACATCGTTGTAAAATGAGATGACATTTTTGTAATTCGAGATGACATTGTTGTAATATGAGTTGAAATTGTTGTATTATCAGATGATATTGTTGTAATGTGAGATGACATCGTTGTAATATGAGATGACGGTTTTGTGATATGAGACTACATTATTTTGATATGAGATGAAATCGTTCAAATATGAGACGAAATTGTCGTAATATGAAACAAATCGTTGTAATATGAGATGACATTGTTATCATATGAGATGATAATGTTGTAATATGAGATGACATTGTTATCATATGAGATGACAATGTTGTAATATGAGATGACGTTGTCGCTCTTTGAGATGACATTCTTGTAACGCAACGAAACACTGAGATACAAACACAATCTCGACCTGTAGGAGTTATGTGTGAACTTGTTGTAGCTACCTAGCGCCGTCAACGTGCCCAGGCCGATGGAGCATGAGAACAAAATCTGAGTGCCTGCGTCCACCCAAACCTGCAAGCAACACGTCTCGTGCAATTGTTGTTGTATTTTCACTATACATCCCTACTATGCATTTTTGTATATGAACATATTAATGCTGTTTATGTAACATACACTTGCCGTTTAAAAGAAGAAAGTTTGAAATGGCAGAATGTAAGACGGGCCTGTGTGCCCAGTTGGTAACCATTTGGAAATAAAGTAAGTTCGTTCGTTTTCCCGCCTCCCGTCAGGAAGTGAAAGCGGTCAATAAAGTGTTGTGTGTGTGCGTACGTACACACACACACTCACACACACACCCACACACACACAAGCATGCACAAACAGACACACACACACAGAGGGAAATAGATTATTAAGGTATTCCTTCCAACCAACCCAACCCCCCCCCCCCCCTTTCTTACCCATACCCATACGTCAGGGCTATTCAACTAAGTTGGTTAAGGGGCCAAAATGTTCAAAAACGGGGACCGTCACGGGCCAGAGGTCTTAGCTCCAGCATAGAGAGATCGAAAATACAATACAGCTAGAAGTGTTCCGCGGGCCACTCGCTAGGCCTTGGCGGGCCAGATTTGGCCCGCAGGCCGCCAGTTGAATAGCCCCGCCATACGTGGTGGTTTGTTCGGGATACAACCCCCCTAACCCCGCACCCCACTCCCCGCCCCGTGGCAAATCCACTCTTGCAGATCAAGCAGTTTCATGTGTCTAGCATCTGAGAACAATAAGAATGTAGAAAGCTACGGAGGTTGGACATTAAATTTGAAGTGAAATTTGAACGTTGTAGTAACATAGAGAGAGAGAGAGAGAGAGAGAGAGAGAGAGAGAGAGAGAGAGAGAGAGAGAGAGAGAGAGAGAGAGGAAAGAGAGAGAGAGAGAGAGAGAGAGAGAAAGAGAGAGAGAGGGGAGAGATAGGAGAGAGAGAGGAGAGAAAGAGACAGAAAGAGAGAGAGAGAGGAGAGAGAGAAAGAGAGAGAGAGAGAGAGGAGAGAGAAAGAGAGAAAAAAGAGAGCAAGAGAGAGAGAAAGAGAGAGAAGGAGAGAGAGAGAGTGGGGGGGGGGAAGAGAGAGGAGAAAACAGGAAAAGAGTGAAGAGAGACTAAGAGATGTCTCGAAGTTATGTAAAGAAAAAGATAAAGATATGGCTGGAAAAGGGGGGGGGGGGGGTGGGGAGGCCAAGAAAGAGATAGGGGAAGAAAGAAAGAAAAAAAAAGGATAAAGAGAGAGAGAGAGAGAGAGAGAGAGAGAGAGAGAGAGAGAGAGAGAGAGAGAGAGAGAGAGAGAGAGTGGATAAGGAGAGAGAAAGAGAGAGATAGAGAGACCGACAGACACACAGAAGAGTTGCTTTAGCACAACTACCGTGATCTCCGTAAGTTTGCTGATGTCTGGGGTCAGGTAGTACTTGACTCCCTCCATGGCGCCATCCAACATGGAGTTTCTCACCAGCAGGATGACCATGAAGATGTAAGGGGACGTCGCTGTCACATAGACCACCTAGCCACACAGACATAGACATCGATAAATGCAGCTGGATTTGTGGTACGGGGACGTCGCTGTCACAAAGACCACCTAGCCACAGTAAGAAGATACGAAGAAACTCCACAGGGGAGCGTGTACAGCAGGAGTCTACCAATCATCAGTAGAAGTAATCTCTCGTCGACAAATGTTATATAAGTCAGCTTACCTTGACGACCAAGTGGTAAGCTTGCATGTTAGACTTTGTTGGCAGATGGCAGAGGGGCACTGTTAGACTATTCGGACACGATGGACTTCGAGGGATAAGATTTTCTTTTCCACTAGATACCCGGACCAGCTCACCGAGGCCCATCCCCCACGACGTTCCGTTGTGTCCAAAGTCAGCTCGAGGCCCTCTCTGCGGCATCGTTCAGTTGTTTCAGTGCTCGTTTGCACTCATTTTCCCGCAAGCAAGGTTGTTTAAACACATTGTACATTGAAACGAGACTTCTTGCGCCTACCTTGACGGCGAAGATGCTTACTGTGTACGTTTCGTCTCTCCTCAGACCAGCCGCTAAGTCACTGTATTTCTCGACCTTGTACATGTGGCTTTCGTCCATTCGCGATCATACGGCACGGTCAGCTCGATCAGGATGAGCTGACGTTTCTCCGCAGAGTGTAGGACTATGTCGGGTCGCAGACCAGTCTTCCAGATTAATTATGGGTACTTTTCGTGACCCTGCAGGTCAACCGCCAGCAGCCAGTCCCTCGCACAGTCAAGTATCGATGGAGCGTATGCGACCTTGTTGAATTTACCTTTACAAATCTATTTAAGGCTGGGTCGACCTGCGACCTGCATGCAAAAAACAAAACAAAAAAATCCACGCAACTAACAGTGGGTTTCGATCTCGGTACGTTGGAATTACGAGTCGGACTTGCAACGCCTGAGCCACGGATTCTGCGATGAAGACAATATAATTTATTATATCGATTATTTTGTGAGTCGCCTTGGAAGAGCGGCTAGACGCGCGCCGCGGATCAGAAGGTTGTGGGTTCGCTCCCTGGCGGAACCGTAATTTTTTTTTTTAAAAATGACCTTGGCTCCCAGTTCGACCCAGCCTTAGTGGTTACCGGGTGTAGTCCAGGTAAGGAGAGGCGTCTGGCGTGCTGCTGACCACATCACCCATCTTGTGCCGTTGATCTATAAAATATAGGTCATGCCCTATATGCCCTATACGTCTGAAGACGTCGAAAAGGGTCCTGATATCCATTAATTTATCAACCTGAAAAGCCAGCATTATACAGATATGGAGCGCATAAAACAGCACACCCAACACCCATGGACCGCATAAAACAGCACACCCAGCATCCATGGACCGCATAAAACAGCACACCCAACATCCATGGACCGCATAAAACAGCACACCCAGCATCCATGGACCGCATAAAAGAGCACACCCAGCATCCATGGACCGCATAAAACAGCACACCCAGCATCGATGGATCGCACGAAACAGCACACCCAGCATCCATGGACCGCATAAAACAGCCCTCCCAACATCCATGGATCGCACGAAACAGCACACCCAGCATCCATGGACCGCATAAAACAGCCCTCCAAACATTCATGGACCGCATAAAACAGCCCTCCAAACATTCATGGACCGCATAAAACAGCCCTCCAAACATTCATGGACCGCATAAAACAGCCCTCCAAACATTCATGGACCGCATAAAACAGCCCTCCAAACATTCATGGACCGCATAAAACAGCCCTCCAAACATTCATGGACCGCATAAAAAAGCCCTCCAAACATTCATGGACCGCATAAAACAGCCCTCCAAACATTCATGGACCGCATAAAACAGCCCTCCAAACATCCATAGATCGCACGAAACAGCACACCCAACATCCACGGACCGCACGAAACAGCACACCCAACATCAATGAACCGCATGAAACATCACATCCAACATCCATGAACAGCACGAAACATCACACCCAACATCCATGGACAGCACAAAACAGCACACCCAACATCCATGAACCACAGCACACCCAACATCCATGAACCGCACGAAACATCACACCCAACATCCATGGACCGCACGAAACATAACACCCAACATCTAAACCGCACAAAACAGCACACTCAACATCCATGGATCGCACAAAACAGCACACACAACATCCATGGACCGCATGAAACAGCACACCCAACATCCATGGACCGCACGAAACAGCACACCCAACATCCATGGACCGCACGAAACAGCACACCCAACATCTATGGACCACACGAAACAGCACACCCAACATCCATGGACCGCACGAAACAGCAGACCCAACATCCATGGACCGCACGAAACAGCAGACCCAACATCCATGGACCGCATGAAACAGCACACCCAACATCCATGGACCGCACGAAACAGCACACCCAACATCCATGGACCGCACGAAACAGCACACCCAACCGCACAAAACAACACACCCAACATCCATGGACCGCACAAAACTGCACACCCAACATCCATGGACCGCACAAAACAGCACACTCAAAATCCAAACCGCACGAAATAGCACACCCAAAATCCATAGACCGCACGAAACAGCACACCCAACATCCACGGACCGTACGAAACAGCACACCCAATGTCCAAAGCGCACGAAACAGCACATCCAACATCCATAGACGGCACGAAACAGCACACCCAACACCCATGGACCGCACGAAACAGCACACTCAACATCCATTAACCACACGAAACAGTACACCGAACATTCATAGACCGCACTTAACAGCACACCCAACATTCATATACAGCACTTAACAGCACACCTAACATCCACGAACCGCACGAAACAGTACACCCTAAGTATGCGGTGTTGCATGAAACCATACACCTAATTCACAAGAACCGCATGTTAGCACACACAGATAGTCCAGTGAGAAGATTGAACACGATACCTGTCCGGTGGACTTGATGCCCCCACAGATACAACAGAAGACGAGAACCCAAGCCAACAGCAGGCACAGTGCCAGGTCCAGCTTCAGCTTGCCGATGTGGTGGAGGCCGTCAGAGATGTCCAGAACCTTGTTTCTGCCAGGGCAGCGACAATAATGAGATATCAGTCGTAACCAACGCGATATTAATGAGACATGGGGCATAGTCAAAGCGACGTTAATGAGGGATGAGACATAACAAAAGCGACATTAATGAGGTATTCAGGGTGACAAAATAAAAATAATACAGGAAACATTAATGAAGCATCGGTCGTAACCGACACAAGCGACATTAATAAGACACTGGGCATTGCAAAAAACATTTGTGACGCTTTGGGTTTCTATCTGTGTTCTCTCTGTTTGCTTTCTTTGTCTTCTCTCTCTCTCTCTCTCTCTCTCTCTCTCTCTCTCTCTCTCTCTCTCTCTCTCTCTCTCTCTCTCTCTCTCTCTCTGTTTTCCCTCTCTTTCTCACTCTTTTTTTCTCTACGTGTCTTATCCATCTATCTCTTCACTCTTTCTTTTTCTCTGTCTTCTCTATGTCAGTCCGTCTTTCTCTCTCTCTCTCTCTCTCTAAACTGCTCTATGCTGCAAAAGGCTAACTGACCGTTAACTGACACTCCTCAACTGTGTGACAACACAAACACCTACTCCCAGTACTCCGTGACGGGATCCATAAGGGTGCCGGAGGATTTGCTGGTCCCGTTGAGGGTTTTCGTGAAATCTTCCGAACAATTCTCCGTGTTCCAATCATGCCCACAGTGCTGCCATGGCAACTCAGTTGTCAACGATGCGAAGAAGTAGTAGAACGCCCAGCACAGGATGATGTTGTAGTAGCAGTCGAGGAGGAACACGATGATACAGGAAGCCAGGCCGATCCCTGCAGACAGACAGACACGCACACATATACACACAAATCTCGTTTGTATTTCCGCGGATCTCAGTTTCATCATCATTATGTGCCCTGCCAACTGGTGTAGGCGCTCATGCGTCTCAACAGATCAAAATCCCTGGTTGCCTGGAACAGTTCTCTTGATGAAATCCCTCCATGCCATCGTTTCAACCCATCCAGCATCATCTCTCTTGGTCTGCCTTTACCGCTTTTTTCACTGATCTTTCAAGTTATCACGATGTTTTCCAGTGCCTCTCTTCTCATTATGTAGCCAAAGAACAGTGTTTGTCTCTTTCTTATTCTTGTATATAGAGATCTACTTTAATTAGCTTCTTTCACGCTGACACAATGTGCTAGTTCACACATCTCTGTCACACATGGCCGCACTCTTACGGTTTCAGATAACCGCATTCTTAACTTCATAGCAAACGGGTTTTCCTATAGTTTTTTTTTTTTTTTTTCATTTCTGTGACAACAAAAACTAGAAAAAATGTCCATCACTGACTCTGGTGAAAAAAAAAACACAATTGACACAGAGCCGTTTCAGCAAAGCCAATAGCATACACGTGCATTTAATACGTAAGGCAGCCGTCGGAAGTGCCAGCCAAACGGTCCGTCACAAGAAATGCAGTTCATCGTCGATGGAAACAACAGTTACAACAGATCATTAGTTGTACACGCAAGTAACAAGCTACCCGTTTTCGGAATCTGCAGTTTACAGTCCAAACGATGAGCACAGACGAAAAGCATTCAAAATGGAATCTGCAGCTCAAAGTGTCGCGCCATGCACTCAGTCGGGTAGCTAGGCGACGGAACATATCCCTTTAGTCTACATATGTAGGACAAGGCAAATGCTGACTAGTGGCAGATGAAAACACGTGCATCGACTAAAAACAATAATCATGCCTATCCGCCGTACTGACCTAAAGTATCGCCTTTCACTATGTAATACATATTTTTTTCATCATACATCCCTACTTCCCATGTGAATTATGTGGGCTCCATTTGGAAGAAAAAGGGGGGGGGGAGGGGGAGTGGATACACTTTGAATTATAATAATACACACAAAAACTTCATCGGCCATGCACTCAGAATGAATAAGACTCATTTGGACACCGGAAGGGAAAAGAAAACGGGGAAAATCCAGAGAGACTCTAGGTAGAACCATCCTTAGTCAAGGCTCAACCATGGGCCTTATGAACATCCAAGACTTAAATATGTAACAACGAACGGCCAGACATGGAGAGAATGACCTCTCTGCCCTATGCGCCGCCCTAAGCTGAAGAGGAAAAGACTAATGCACAACGGGGGATATGGTGGGAAAAGGAGAGGGGGGGGGGGAAGGGGTGGGAGTTCCTTGTCGCACTGGCTAAGCATACCTATCACGTCCATGGGGGACAGGTAACAAGTAAACTATAAGAAAATGAAAATCTGTACCTGGAGAGATCTGGTACAAAAAATCCAGATCTGGATACAAATAATCAAGATCTGAATACAAATAAGCAAGATCTGGATACAAATAAGCTAGATCTGGATACAAATAAGCAAGATCTGTATTCAATAAGCCAACCCTTGATATAAATAAGCCAGATCTGGAAACAAATAAGCCAGATCTTGATACAAATAAGTCGGATTTAGATACAAATAAGCCAGATCTTGATACAAATCCACTGGGTAGTAAAGGGAGATACTTACAGTTGGAGACTCATGTGCACCAAGCATTCAAATGGTGCTCTGTTGTACGCATCCTCTAAGTCTGGTGCGGCTGCACATGTCTCTTCTCTTATCTAAAAACCTTCATAGACTTCACAAGCGAAAACTGCTGCATTGAGTCATGCCTCTTTGCTACGCCTGTATCCTACAAGTGTGGATGGTAACCCGTTATGCTTTTACAAGTCAAACCACTTACTTTGAAAGACTGGTACGATATTCCAGGCATTGAAACCACTTACCCTGAAATAGTGGCACGATGTTCCAAGCATTGAAACCACTTACCTTGAAACACTTGTTCGATGTTCCAGGTGTTTAAACCATTTACCCTAAAACAGTGGCACAATGTTCCAAGCATTGAATCCACTTACACTGAAACACTTGTACGATGTTACAGGTATTGAAACCACTTACCTTGAAACAGTGGCACGATGTTCCATGTATTGAAACCACTTACACTGAAACAGTGGTACGATGGTCCAGGTATTGAAACCACTTACCCTGAAACAATAGTACGATGTTCCAGGTATTTAAACCACTTACCTTGAAGCAGTGGCACGGTGGTCCAGGTATTGAAACCACTTACCCTGAAACTGTGGCACGATGTTCCAGGTATTGAAACCACTTACCTTGAAGCAGTGGCACGGTGGTCCAGGTATTGAAACCACTTACCCTGAAGCAGTGGCACGGTGGTCCAGGTATTGAAACCACTTACCTTGAAGCAGTGGCACGATGTTCCAGGTATTGAAACCACTTACCCTGAAACAGTGGCACGGTGGTCCAGGTATTGAAACCACTTACCCTGAAACAGCGGTACTATGTTCCATGCCTGTAGTCCACTCATGCTCATATACTGTCCGACTGCAACTTCCAGATAAAACAAGGGAATTCCCGCAAACACAACAGACAAAAAATAGGGAATCAGAAAAGCACCTGGAGAAAATATGTAATAAAAGTTTAAAATGTGGCTTGCAGTTGTTATGGAGATCATCGTGGTGGCATTGTGGTATTAACGAAATTGACATACACTGGTAATAGACATCAGCATGGTAACCTAATGACATATAGAAAGGCTCAAAGATACATAATATGTATAGATACAAGGACAGTAGATGGCAAAGGTGTGGTTACGTGGATCAAAGATATATAAGATGTGTAGACACAAGGATAGAAGTGAGCAAACGTGTGGTTACGTGGATCAAAGATATATAAGATGTGTAGACCCAAGGATAGAAGTGAGCAAACGTGTGGTTACGTGGATCAAAGATATATAAGATGTGTAGACACAAGGATAGAAGTGAGCAAACGTGTGGTTACATGGATCAAAGATATATAAGATGTGTAGACACAAGGATAGAAGTGAGCAAACGTGTGGTTACGTGGATCAAAGATATATAAGATGTGTAGACCCAAGGATAGAAGTGAGCAAACGTGTGGTTACGTGGTTCAAAGATATATAAGATGTGTAGACCCAAGGATAGAAGTGAGCAAACGTGTGGTTACGTGGATTAAAGATATATAAGATGTGTAGACCCAAGGATAGAGGTGAGCAAACGTGTGGTTACGTGGATCAAAGATATATAAGATGTGTAGACCCAAGGATAGAAGTGAGCAAACGTGTGGTTACGTGGATCAAAGATATATAAGATGTGTAGACCCAAGGATAGAAGTGAGCAAACGTGTGGTTACGTGGATCAAAGATATATAAGATGTGTAGACACAAGGATAGAAGTGAGCAAACGTGTGGTTACGTGGATCAAAGATATATAAGATGTGTAGACCCAAGGATAGAGGTGAGCAAACGTGTGGTTACGTGGATCAAAGATATATAAGATGTGTAGACACAAGGATAGAAGTGAGCAAACGTGTGGTTACGTGGATCAAAGATATATAAGATGTGTAGACCCAAGGATAGAAGTGAGCAAACGTGTGGTTACGTGGATCAAAGATATATAAGATGTGTAGACACAAGGATAAAAGTGAGCAAACGTGTGGCTACATGGTTCAAAGATATATAAGATGTGTAGACACAAGGATAGAAGTGAGCAAACGTGTGGTTACATGGATCAAAGATATATAAGATGTGTAGACACAAGGATAGAAGTGAGCAAACGTGTGGCTACATGGTTCAAAGATATATAAGATGTGTAGACACAAGGATAAAAGTGAGCAAAGGTGTGGTTACGTGGATCAAAGATATATAAGATGTGTAGACACAAGGATAAAAGTGAGCAAAGGTGTGGTTACGTGGATCAAAGATATATAAGATGTGTAGACACAAGGATAAAAGTGAGCAAACGTGTCGCTACATGGTTCAAAGATATATAAGATGTGTAGACACAAGGATAGAAGTGAGCAAACGTGTGGCTACATGGTTCAAAGATATATAAGATGTGTAGACACAAGGATAGAAGTGAGCAAACGTGTGGCTACATGGTTCAAAGATATATAAGATGTGTAGACACAAGAATAGAAGTGCGCAAACGTGTGGCTACATGGTTCAAAGATACATAAAATGTTTGGACACAAGGATAAAAGTGAGCAAACGTGTGGCTACATGGTTCAAAGATGCATAAAATGTTTGGACACAAGGATAGAAGTGAGCAAAGGTGTGGCTACGCGATTAAAAGATACATAAAATGTGTGGACACAAGGACAAAAGTGGGTAAATGTGTGGTTCAAAGTTAACAAGATGTGTAGACACAAGTTGTTCAGTCAATAATCAAATTAAAAAAAAAGTATAAGTCAATAAATTAGTGGCTTTTTCCAGAAGGAAAGTTCGCTGCAATGAATTGTCAACACTCTTTATCTCTTGATTTGGTTGTATACTCCTTCAGACTGTTGTTGGTCCATCTCTTGATGTTGTCGCCCAACTTGTAACGCTGTTTACCTCTTGCTCTCCTGTCCTGACTTTTCCAGCCAGTATGGTTTTTGAAAACGTATTATGTCTTTTTATGTGACCAAAATTTTTCAACTCTCCCTTTTTATTTATTTCAATAATTTCCTTTTAATTGCAGCCTTTCCAGAACCTATGTACTTAACTGTTTTTGCTTTAAAAAAAAAATGGATGTCAGAAGAATGCGGCGCATGTGTCTTAGGCTTTACGAGTCTGACTCGTAATTCCAACATACCACTATCAAAACCCATTGCTGGCTGCGTGGGTTTTATCGTGGTATGGGGCGTCGCAGGTCGACCCAGCCTAAAATGGGAACTAGGATGTATGTCCTGGGGAAATAAAGACATTACCCACCTAGTGCCGATGGTCTGTAAAATTATGC